TGTGCAGAAATATGCAATAAAGCAAATGACAAATATATCGGCGATCGTTAAATAGACATCGAAATGAAATTGAGCTGTATAAATAGCTGCAAATGAAAGCACATTTACAATAACTAATTTTTTTATGTTATATACCTATCACTACTGATTTTCACAGCAATAAGGCATTGATGAAAATCAAAAGGGTTGAGACAATGATTTAAGCTAATATAATAGGAAAAAGTAATTAATTAATTAAAGTAATTACAATTATAATAGCGAACACAACAAATTTCATATCAATGCAATAGTGCTAATTTGAAATTTAAATTAATGAATGGATAAAATTAGCTTTCTAAAATTACATTGAATTTTAATCAACTTTATAGCTTACCTATTCATTGACTTATATATTTATATTTTTGCAAAGAAATGCTTTTAATTTGATAGCACTTTTTTTAGCATAACAAACCATTAAAAATAGCAAAAATTCCCTGAGGGAATTCAATGCACAAGAAGATAGAAGAAATCATTAGAAGTAGCATTAGATGGTACGATCCTTGTAAGTTCCATCTTTAGTTCTATTTCGTAGTAGCACCAATCGTTTCTCCTTATTCTTAGCCAATTTTATCAGTAGACAATATGTTAAACATAGCAATGATATGCATGGTATCACCTGAAAGGTAACTTTTATTAAATGAATATAGATTGTATTTGTGGAGATTAATAAATACAATTGTTGCTCAATCAGCTAAGGAATATATTGAATAGGTTCAACAAATTTCATTTTCATTATGATTCCAATAAGCCATAAATTCAACTTTAGTAGAAAACAATCGTTGCTGGTGAACATCCTGGAGGGACCGATACTGTATATGTCAGAAACCGAACTTGGATCTGATACTGAGCGATCTATGGAATGAATTGTTTCTGATTTGATTAAATCTCAATTGTTCTCTTGCGGTTGAATATCATGTGCCAAGCGTTGGAATACACAAAGCAAATATTGAAAGAGATATTGATAATGATATAATCTTGAAATTATGATAAATTATCTGATAAAAAATGATAATAATCATTATTATGAAATTATTGAAATAGTTCCTTAGCGATTTCAAGTACTAAGAATATTTTAAATCTCTTCATTTCATATTGAAAGAATTTATCCGGCAACTTTGGTTTCAAGAAATCGACTACGCTAAGTTTGCATTGAACGAAGTTAAATATAAGTGATGAAAACGAGAAGATATAATAACATACTATTTAGCGCAGTACTCAGCATCACATGCAATTTTAGCAGTAATATCCGACTGTAGAAATATTCGCCAGTAGTGCTTACGCAGAATTCACATCTTAAGAGATAAATTTCAATTAGTTTAATTGAGAATACAATAACATAGAATATGAAAGAATTACTCAAGTATCCGATCTAATGACAATATTACATTTCCTATTCCTTGCTTGTTAAACATTGCATATGCTAGTGAAAAAATTTTTGATAGGAATTAAAACTCTTTATTAATTAAATAAAATTCATCTATCAAAATTAATTTCATTCTCTTTTAAGAACAAAAAAGAAAACTCGAAGTTTTAAATTTGATGACAATATTTTCATTTGTTATCAGTTAGCTACTACTAACAACTTCTTTTCTCAATAGTACTTTATGTTTCACTGCTTCAAATTAACACTAAATATCCAATCAGTTTAGAAGTTCAAGTTTTTAAAAAATGCTAGGATTATTATCAACTATAAAATATCACACAGCATATGAATTCATCCTGCTGCTATCAGCTAATGCTATGCAAATGAGGACGGTATGAACAGAAGATCGTAACATTGCTGGCTTTCTGAGAAACCAAATATGTGTACAATTTACTAATGATCCGGTAACATACTAATATATTTATGAAATTAACAATAAAATTTGCAAAAGAATTTTTTTGATGTCAGCGACAAAATGAAATATTGAAAATGTATGTTTTACTGAATTGGTGAATTTAATTCATATGAAAATTTATTTTTAGAAATGCTAGAAAAACTTGCTGCTAAGATTTGAAGTAATTTTTAAGTGTCAGCCATTGTTGTTACTCCAATGCTTAGCAATAAATTTGTTCGAAGTTAAAAATGAAAAAAGAAAATTGCATTTTAAAAATATTTTTTCCATTGGTATGTTTGCTGTGAGTTTTCAAAAAAGAAAATAACATTTTCCTTATTGCCAGCTATTCGGTATCAGTCGGTATCATTTTATGTAATATAAAGATAATAAAATTAAAACTTTCACAATGAAATAATTCATTAATAAACTAAAACAATTCATTTTTGATTGCTAACATTAAAATCTACTAAGGAATTTTGTGATATTACAATAAATGATTGTAATAGAAAGGTTAAAACGGAAATTATTTATACTTCAATTTATTTCATTTGTTATTTGCTCGCTCGTTATCATTCAAATATATATCGGAATCATAATTATACTATCATGATCCTAATAAAGTTAACTATCTTGGGGGTACTTTAGGCCCTGACAAGAGTATTAAATCAGTCTTATTAAGGTCAAAAACTGCAACGCTTCGATTTTTATACTTATCCAATTGCATTACTTATTTTAGTTAAAAAATAAACCATAACACAAGTTTTGAGATATAACAAAACATTAACAGTTTGCAACTGTAAAATTAGGAATAAAATTTAAATGATTTAGTAAACAAATTTGATAAGCTAAAACTCTTATCAATAAATTATCAATAAATCAATATATCAATAAATCAATATTAGACAATGTTTATAGCAATTTCTTTTTTAGAATGTAATTTAAAAGCAAAAAAGATGTAATCTAGAATGTTTGTTTTTCAGTTTCAGTTGAAATTCAATTTAATAAAATATTTTGCCTAATAAATTTTGATTTATAATATTAAAGTTTTATTATCGCTTCATAGAATGTACTAAAATTCATTATGAGAAAGAAATAATATCACAGAACGAATCTCACTTTTAATATTTCTTTAACTGATATTTTGAAATTAATAATGGAGAATAAATAATTGTGAAACTTCGAGATTCACTTCGAGAGTTTGTAAAAATTGATAAAGCACTATTGGGAAACTTTGCTGATCGAAAATGTACTTCTTGAATTTATCGAACAATCATTGCTCATAATTAGAAGGCAATATTAATGAAGTGATATTAATGATATTAATTAATGATATATAGAAAGCGATATTAATGATCAAAGGTGATGAAAAATGAAAGGAATAAGCATCATTTGCCTGTAGCACTCATTAAAACAAAGAAATTCATTTAAAAAGCGCAATTTAGGATTGATCGTTATAAAGATAATAAATGAAATGAGATATCAATACCGAATCACCAAATAAAATAACTTTTAAAATGGATTAAAGGAATAAATTGAAAGAATAAAAAATTAATACGACTGAAATGCTCGGATACTGAAATTACGATGATTGGAAGTAGAAATTATTTCGCATTCCAGAAATATAAATAGGCGAAAAATGCAGAAAATATGCAACTAAGCAAATGTTGGAAAGAATATCATCTACGATGGTATAAATGAATTGATAATTTATTTCAAAGTTGCATAATATCTTTGGCGTAACGAAGAGATGAATTAATTAAGTTGAAGAAAAGGAAAGCAATATTAATGTATATGAAATGGCGGAGTTATTTTCAAATTAATAATTTGAGAAGTTTTTAAATTTCAAAAGAAAGCTAAAATAATTAAATGAATAGATGGAAAAAATTAAATTCATATATCAATGAGTTTTTAATAGAAAATGCGATAATGCAATAATTTCAAAAAAGAAATTCGAAAAATGAAAAAAAAGCCAAAAATATGTTGCATTTCCAGCCGGCTGTCATTTATTAACTCATAAGATTTGAAGAACTAAAATTTCAAAATAGTTTGCACAAACATTGAAAATAATTAAAAATGTAATAAATTTAAATTTGGCAAATTTTTTTAAGAATTATTCATTTTTATTTAATTTCATAACTTTTGCATTTTGAACAGACAAACGAACAAGAGAAAGAAAAACAAAAAGTTAAAAACTTAAGAATTTTGTCGCAACTTTCTTTCCATAGCAATTGCACTAACCAAAGACCAGGTGTATTATTCAGGTGAATTTAAATTAGTAAATCATAGATGAAAGAGATGCATCAATGAGATCATTGCAAAAATAAACAATCATGCTAAAAAAGGTTTGTTTATTGTTATTTATTTTTTATTCGTTCTTTATAGTGAACGGAAGAATAGATTGAGTTAGAAATGCTCCTTGAAATATTTATCGGATCTATGTCAATCATTATGGATCAATAAAATGATACAATAATTATGAGGAAAAATATGCGAATACTTTAAGACTGAGAAAAGCAAAGCGCTCATTGTAACTGTCATTAGAATATGTTTCAAATATAAACTGATGAAATACAAATGCTGTAAAATTTTTGAATTGTTTACATTGTTAAACGGTTGATAAGAAATGAGAGGTGGGTGGGTCGATTGATTATTATTGTTTGATATAATTTAGAGATAGGCAAATGATCATTGATAATTAATAACATTGTTTTCTTCCTATCATTTTGTTTATTTTGATTACTTTCAGGCTTCCCTCATTTCTTAAATTTTTTGCATCCAAAAAAACTGAGTAGCTAACTAACAAACTATTCGAGCTGTTATACAATCATCGAAAGGATTTCGTTGCTAAGAATCCTTTTATTTTTGTTGAAATATTCTTATTTGGAAAAATTTATATTTTAAGAAAATTAATTAAATACACTGGAAATGGTTCACAAATACTCTTTATTAATTGCGCTTCTAGACTTCTGCGCTTTTGCATTGACTGATGCGCTTCTAAAGTTATGTATTGATGAAAAATAGTCCCCTAAGTATGGTAAATAATTTATGTCTCTTTGGTAACGTATCATTTCTATAAATAGAAGGAATATTCATCGAGATCAAATATAAGTGAATTAAGCTCGAGAAGAAAGTTTGACTGGCAACATGAATCTAGAAAGTGGCATCAAGCAGAGGAGCGCTCCATCATCTTCCGCCTCTGTTCTCAGTCCGCAAATCACTTCGCAAACTAATCCGAGTGAACAGAGAAACATTTGGCGAAGAGTGAATATCCATGTATCGGAACAGAAGTCAGAGCAGGAAAAAAATTGGAAACAACGAAATACCTACCATATTTCACAGGGAATCGAATTCTGGGAGGATGAAGATGAACAAGGATGGGAAACAATCGATATCGGTGGTAAAAACGAGAATGAAGCTAAATGGCCAGTTGAAAAAGCGGTAACTTTATCTTTGTTTATCATAACTTGATGTAAATTAAGGTTAATCACTGATAATTCGAATAAAGATTCTGTTTTCCAGAACAATGTGCAACAATTTGCTAAGGCAAGAGAGGAGCAAAACAAACTGAGGAAAACTGAGCAAACTGAGCAAGAAATAAATAAATTTTTCATTATATTGATCTGTTTTGGAATACAGATAATTGCTGCATTTATCTGTATTGGCTTTTCTATATATCAGGTAATTAATTAAGTAATTAACTGAGTTCAATTTTAGCTCTTATAGAAATATTATTCTTTGAATATGATAAATTGAAATACTCATTTGTATTTTGGTTATCATATTCTTTTTACTATATTAAATTAATGAATGACCCAGTAATTAATGCAAAATTTCTGCCAACTCGAAGTGTTTAAATTTAAGAAATAAAATTGAACTGTTGCAGATTACCAATAGTGCCCAGATTGAATCTGGTATTGCTTTTTTTCTCTTGGCACTGATACCAATAGTCGGCGCTGCAGGTTGTATATTGTGTGCCCTGATGAGAAATCAAAGTAATACTTTGACCTCTTACCTTTTCAATTTTCCTTTACTTTTCCGAAAACTTCGTCTTCAGCACATTTTGTCCAGCCAGCTATTGATACAACCGGTGATTCGATGATGAATTCCAGCAAGGTAAGATCAGAAGCAATTCATGATCTTATCCTTAATCATTAGTTTCATTTTTAAAATCTAATTTAGTTGTATTGCTTTTTAGCCCTCACATTATGCACAGCAATTTACAACGCGGCATCGGCTGTTGGAGTAATTACGGCAGCGATCAATATATATTCTTTCGATGACAATCAGCCGTCTTCACTCAGTTATTTCATTCAAGTGGCGGGTATTGTTGCGATTGTTCAGGTAAACATTCAAAAGCAGTGATAATTGTCTTAACATTAAACATTAAAATTTCTTTAAAAACACCACCGTTCTTTCATTATGTATTTTACAAGATACTGACAACATGATTTAGGTAATAGATGCAAATTTCCAGCAAGCTAGTTTAATTCGGTGATGGTAAATAAAATCAAAATTTATAGACTGCTTCATTCGGAATAATTCTGATCTTTTATTTCAAGCTACTGGCTTCTGCTACAACTACCAATTATCCAAAACGTACTGTATTATTCTTAAGTTTCCACTTCATTATTTATATATAATATGTATATTCGCTGCTGTAAAGTGAACTGAATTCATCTAAATTTAAGCTAATAAAATTAAAGTAAGAGAAAATAACAACGAACTAAGCTATTAGTAAAAAGATATAAAAGAGCTTATTGTCAATGAATTAAACTTCACATCACACAAATGTTTTATATAAGAACATTTGAAGAAAATGCGGTTGAAGAAAAGCAAATAACTGAGCCATCAGGATCGAGAGAAATAAAGAAGTAGGCCTTTTTTATCGGCATGTTTCAAACGATTTATTAATTTTTCCAATACTAAAAAAGAATAACCGTAATCTTTAATATTAAACTATGAAATTCTTTACAGTGAATCACACAAAAATACTTCTGATTCCGGAAATAATTCTCTCTCACCGGCCATGCAAGTAAAACCATTCTTTTTCCGTTATTTTCAAAATAAGGAGAAAAATATTGTACATAGTAGGGAATAAATAGTATGTAGAAAATCTTTCTGGAAAAATTCCGATTATAGATTGTCGGAAAGAAAAAAACGGAATTTTTGCATCACTTACGATCAGTAGAATGAAAGAAGCAATCTTTTCTGTAACATTGTCACGACCAGTATCTGACCAGTCGTTGTAATTATTGAATAATCTATCTGAGAAAAAGTTTTCTATTATTTTGAGATAAAATGGTTGTCTATTAAGGTAAACAAAAATCGTGGAACAAAGGATAGTACTGATGAAACGACGATGTGAAGAATATAGCATAGATAATAATACAAAACAAAAATTCGACGAAATTATTCATCTTTCTCTTTCGTCTTTTTCATTTTGTTGTATTTATTTATGTCAGATATAAATTTTATGGCTTTTATTTAAGAATTCAATAAAATAATTTCAAAGATCTTAACGGATCCGTTACTGATTCATATTTTATTCTTTGCCTGAAATATTTGCATTGGAACGACGATTATCACCAGTTTATTCAATGCAATGTGCGCCAATCTTCTGAATAAGTGATAACTTGAATTTTTTGCATTAAATTTAATTGGTTTGAAAATTGAATTAATTTCAAATTTATTTGTTTGAATACTAAGTAAATTATTAAATTTAGCAAAACAATAAAATGAACAATGCGAAATATTTGACATTATTCATATTCATGCCATTGTGAAGTCAATCAGAGGAGCAATTAGTGAGAGATAAGTTTAGACAGTTTTGATAAACATTAGAATAACACTTTCAAATTATGAATTAAAAAATAGCATTCATTTTTAAATTCAAAATAATTCTGTATATGAATTTATGTGTGCCCAAAAATGAACATTCAAAAAAGGCCCAAAAATGAACATTCAAAAAAGGCCCAAAAATGAACATTCAAAAAAGGCCCAAAAATGAACATTCAAAAAAAAATCAAATAAAGTTTCTCTCTGGATGCGAAGCGATGGAGGTCGATAAATATTGACTCGTATCGTAGAAACATATTTGTTGGAAGTAGGATTGATTGACTTGAAAAATGTTTAAAGGGAGGTTTACAAGTATATATGTTACTATGTACTTCTACATTGATCTTTCAGTATTCTTTGCAGAAGGATGCAGAAAATCTATGATAATCTTTTTTTCACTTACTTTAGTGAATATATCTAATTAGTGACGATGTTCCCTTGCTGATAAATTTAGCTCATTAATTATATTAAACTGAAGAATGGCACATTTCAATTTAAAATAGAAAAATTACAAGAGAAGCCAAAATCTACTGAAACATGAAGCTTTATAATTCTTCAGAGCATCTAAACCTTTACAAACGTGCTCATATAGCATACAAAAGTAAGTAATATATTTAGTTGTAAAATCGAACATTCCGAACTCTTCCGGCAATTCGATACTTATTATCATTCAGCAAAATAATTTAATTACTACTTAAAGAACTTCTTAATTCCATTTGCAACAACAAATATTATCGTAAACAAGGCAATTAATTGTTTTATGAATTCTGGCAACAATGCTATAATATAAAAATTCTTATCATCACTGCGTGGGAAATAATGCAATACTCGCCTTAATTGATATATAGGATTGCAACAATCAAAGCGTTCATTGTAACTGTTATTAGAATATGCCAAATTAAAATACTAAAATAATGAAATATAAATTTTGTAAAATTTTAAATTATTAACATTGTCAAACGGTTGATAAGAAATGAGGGGTGGGTCGATTGATTACTATTGTTTGATATAATTTAGAGAAAGGCAAATGATCATTGATAAATGATAGCACCGTTTTCTTCCTATCATTTTGATTTTGATAGCATTGTTTTTCTATTAAGGCGCTTCTAAAGTTATGCATTGATGAAAAATAGCTTCCTAATTACAGTGGATAATAAATGATTTATATCTCTTTGGTAACGCATCATTTCTAAAAAGAGAAGGAAAATTTATTCATCAAGAAAATATAAATGAATTAAGGGAAGAAGAAAGCCTAACTGGAGATGTTTATTTAGAAAGTGGTATCAAGCAGAAAAGCGCTCCAACACCTTCCGCTTCTATTCGCAATTCGCAAATCACTTCGCAAACTAATCATTCCGCAAGTGAAGATTCTGTTCTCCAGAATGTGCGACAATTTGCTAGGGCAAGAGAGCAACGAAATAGGCAACTGCAAACTACGCAAGAAATAGATAAACTTTTCATTATATCGTTGATCTGGTTTGGAATACAGATAATTGCTGCATTTATCTGTATTGGCTTTTCTCTACATCAGGTAGTTAATTAAGCAATTAACTGAGTTCAGTTTTAGCTCTTGTAGAAATATTATTCTTTAAATATGATAAATTGAAATGCTCATTTGTATTTTGGTTATCATTTTCTTTTATAATATTAAATTAATGAAAGACCCAGTAATTAATGCAAACTTCTGCTAAGTCAAAGTTTTTAAATTTAAGAAATAAAATTGAACTGTTGTAGGTTGCCAATAATGCTCAAATTGAATCAGCTATTGCTTTTCTTCTCTTAGCAATGTTACCAATGGTCGGTGCTGTTGGTGGTATATTTTCTGCCTTGACGAAAAATCAAAGTAATACTTCGACATCTTACATTTTCAAATTTCCTTTAGTTTCATTAAAACTTCGCTTTCAGCACTTTTTTTGTCTAGTCAACTATTAATACAGCTATGGTTATTCGATAGTAAATTGCAGCAATAGAGGTACTTTCTGATAATCTTATCCTTAATCACTAACTTCATTTTAAAATCTAATTTAGTTGTATTACTTTTCAGCCTTTACAATGTGCATAGTGATTTATAACGTGGCATCGGTCGTTGGAGTAATTACGGCAATGATCAATGTGTACTCATTCGAAGTCAATCAACCATTTTCTCTCAGTGGTTTCATTCAGGTGGCGGGTGTTGTTGCGATTGTTCAGGTAAATTTTTAAAACTAGTTGTGACTACTTTAACTTAAATATTAAAATTTCTTTAAAAGCACTGTCGTTCTTTCATTACGCATTTTACAAAATGCTGACAACATGATGTAGGAAATAGATGGAAATTTTCAGCAAGCTAGTTTAATTCGGTGATGGTAAATAAAATCAAAATTAATCATTAATTTATATTTATAGACAGTTTCGTTCGGAATAGTTCTGGTCCTCTATTTCAAGCTATTGGCTTCTGCTGCAACTATAATTTATCCAGAACGTTCTGTTTTGTATCGAGCAAGTATGCTCTTTATGTTGACAGTATCAAATAAGCTATTAAAGGAAATAATGAGATTTAATGAATAAACGCTGATTTTTTGAATTAACTTACATTAGCGATTTTAAATGTATAGAATATGTTGACAGATAATAGGAAGGTTTGGCCTTTTCATTAAAATACGATTATCTCAATTCTTTAATAATAATGATATTAATATTAATAAATTATGCTTTCTAAATACTATAAATTTCTTGTAAGGTATTCCAGATGCAGAAGTGCAACGAAGTGGTAGACGATTACATGGCAGTGATGCAACGAAGTGGTAGAGAATCATATGATATTGATGCAACGATGTTAGGAGTATAGTATAGAAATAATAATAATAGAAATATTTATTTATGTCAGATATAAATTTTATGGCTTTAATTTAAGAAATCAATAAAATAATTTCAAAGTATCTTTACGGATCCGATAGTTTTGATAAACATTAAAACAATAAAATTATGAATTAAAAATTAGCATTCATTTTTAAATTCAAAGTAATTCTGTATATGAATTTAGGCAAGCCCAAAAATGAACATTTTAGGAAAATATGAAATAAGATTTCTCTCTCGATACCAAGTAATGGAGGATTGATAAACATTAACTCATAGAAGATATCGTAGAAGCATATTTGATGAAAATAGGATTGATTGGTTTGAAAATGATCTATGAGAGATTAGGAGGTATATGTGTTACTATGTACTTCAACATTTTTCAAAAATAATTTAAAATAGAAAAATTACAAGAGAAGCCAAAGTAAAATCTACTGAATTATTAAGCTTTTGCAATTCTTCAGAATTTCCCAACCTTTACAAGCGTACTCAAATAGCTTACAAAAGTAAGCAATATATTTTAGTTGTAAAATCAAACATTCCGAACTCTTTCGGCAATTCGGTACTTATTATCATTCAACAATTATCATTCAACTTAAAAAACTTCTTAATTCCATTTGCAATAACAAATATTATCGTAAACAAGGCGGTAATTAATTAATTTTATGAATTCAGGATAGCAACAATGCTATAATATAAAAATTCTTATCATCACTGTGTGGGAATTAATGCAATATCCGCTTTAATTGATATATAGGATTGCAACAATCAAAGCGTTCATTGTAACTGCCATTAGAATATGCCAAATTAAAATAATAAAAACTAAAATACTAAAATAATGAAATATAAATTTTGTAAAATTTTAAATTATTAACATTGCCAAACGGTTGATAAGAAATGAGAGGTGGGTCGATTGATTACTATTGTTTGATATAATTTAGAGATAGGCAAATGATCATTGATAATTAATAACATTGTTTTCTTCTTATCATTTTGATGATTTTGTTTATTTTGATTACTTTCAGGCTTCCTTCATTTCTTAAATTTTTTGCATCCAAAAAAACTGAGTAGCTAACTAACAAACTATTCGAGCTGTTATACAATCATCGAAAGGATTTCGTTGCTAAGAATCCTTTTATTTTTGTTGAAATATTCTTATTTGGAAAAATTTATATTTTAAGAAAATTAATTAATTAAATATACTGGAAATGGTTCACAAATACTCCTTATTAATTGCGCTTCTAGACTTTTGCGCTTTGCATTGACTGATGCGCTTCTAAAGTTATGCATTGATGGAAAATAGCCTCCTAAGTATGGTAAATAATTTATGTCTCTTTGGTAACGTATTATCTCCATAAATAGAAGGAAAATTTATTCATCAGGAAAATATAAATGAATTAAGGTGGAGAAGAAAGCTTGACTGGAGACGTGTATCTAGAAAATGGTATCATGCAGAAGAGTGCTCCATCATCTTCCATCTCTGTTCCCAGTCCGCAAGTCACTTCGACAACTATTCCGAATGAACAGAGAAACATTTCGGAGCGGAGATTGAATATCCGTATGCCGGAACAGAAATTAGAGCAGAAAAAGTATTGGGAATATCGAAATGTCTACCATATACCAGTTCCACAGGGAATCGAATTCTGGGACAACGAAGATAAGAAACGATGGGAGATGATCAATATCGGCGGTTTAGACGAGAGTGAAGCTAATCGGCAAATTAGAAGAGAGGTAAGTTTAACCTTATTTATCATAATCTGATGAAAATTGACGTTAATCTCCTAATAATTCTAATATTCTATCTTTCAGAAAATGCAACAATTTGCCAAGGCAAGACAACAGGAAACCAGAAAATTGCAAACTGCAGTAGGAATGAAAAAGTTTTTCATTATGGCGTTGCTCTGTTTTGGAATACAGATAATTACTGCATTTGCCTGTATTGGCTTTTCTATACAACAGGTAGTTAATTAAGTAATTAACTTAGTTCAGCTTCAGCTCTTGCAAAAATATTTTTGAATATGATAAATTGAAATGCTCATTTGTATTTTGATTATTATATTTTTCTTATTATATTAAATAAATAAGTGGACGATCAACGTTTAATGCAAGTTTTTACTAACTCAAAGTTTTTAAATTTAGGAAATAAAATTGAACTATTATAGTTTACTAATAACGCTCAGATTCAATCTGGTATTGCATTTCTTCTTTTGGCAATGATACCAATGGTCGGTGCTGTTGGTGGTATATTTTCTGCCTTGACGAAAAATCAAAGTAATACTATGACCTATTATCTTTTTAATTTTCCTTTATTTTCCCTAAAACGTCTTCATCACATTTTTGTCCAGTTAGCTATTGATACAACCGGTGATTCGATGTTGAATTCCAGCAAGGTAAGATCAGAAGCACTTCATGATCTTATCTTTAATCATTGGCTTCATTTTTAAAATCTAATTTAGGTGTATTACTTTTCAGCCTTCACAATGTGTACAGCAATTTATAACGTGGCATCGGTTGTTGGAGTAATTACGGCAGTGATCAATGTGTACTCTTTCGAAGTCAATCAGCCATTTTCTCTCAGTGGTTTCATTCCAGTGGCCAGTGTTGTTGCGATTGTTCAGGTAAATTTTTAAAAGTAGTGGTGACTGTCTTAATTTAAATACTAAAATTTCTTTGAAAGATGATGACAATATGATGTAGGAAATAGTTGCAAATTTTCAGCAAGTTAGTTTGAAAAAATTCGGTGATAAAATCACATTTAATTATTAACTTATATTTATAGATTGTTTCATTCGTGGTATTTCTGGTCCTTTACTTCAAGCTATTAGCTTGTACTACAGCTATAATTTATCCAGAGAGTTCTGTTTTGTATCATGCAAGTATGTTCTTGCTGTTGACAGTATCAAATAAGTTATTAAAAGAAATAATGAGATTTAATGAATAAAACGCTGATTACCGTTTAATAAAGATTGCCTGCTAAAGAAGGATGAAGTATTAATTGCTAACTTTTATCCATTAATATACCTGCGCATATATTAATATACCTAAGCAGTGAAAGATAAGGTATTTACAGAAGAAACAATATTAAGAAGCAAAAAATCTTGCAAGGGCTCATAAGAAATTTAAAATGATTACATTATGTTAGCAAAAATAAAATAAATTTGAATGAGTGAAGTTTTGCATGATTAAGGTTAATTTCTCTTCAATTTTAATATATATTAATCCATAAGCGTTCTTTTGAATTAATTTACATTAGCGATTTTGAAATATATAGAATATGTTGACAGATAGTAGGAAGGTTTGGCCTTTTCATTAAAATACGATTGTTTCAATTCTATAATAATAATAATAATGATATTAATATCAATAGATTATGTTTTCTAAATATTGTAAATTTTTTGCTAAATATTTCAGATGCAGAAGTGCAACGAAGTGATAGAGGATTATATCATAAACAAAATAAATTAAAAGAACGTAAGAAAATTGAACTTGAATTAGACGAGAAAACTAAAGATGTCACTCAGAAATATAAACAGTAAGTGAAATTCAAATGAAATTTAAAAATCTAAATTTCAGCTAATTTTGATAAATTTATTTTAGCAATGTTATAATATCATTTTCTTCATTCGCTTCTCCAATCTTCGCCTTAAACTAAATTTAGCTTATGCTTTATTTTGAATAAATACCACATTAAAATTTAAGGTTTTCAACGAATGACAATTTTGCAGAATAATAAATAGAAATTTATGATTTCAAGATTATCCATAGGAAGCTCAAAATTTAACGATTAATTTATCTCTCTTATGATAAATTCTATAATTTATCTCTCTTGTATTTCTTAAGTTAATCTTAATAATCGTAAAATCTTAATCTTAAGTTCTATTTTCTAATTAATTGCATCAAAGATAAATGAATTCGAATATATTATTTACTTTTTTGATGCAAGTAATCATCACAGCATTTTTCAGGTATTTACAAAAAAAGAGTCAAATTGCCGAAAAATCTGGTATTTTTTCAGTGTCAAAAATTGAATTGTCAAAAAATGTATTTCGTAAAGTTTTTTAGAAATGATTTTTATTGATTTGAATACTCTAATTTATAAATATATAAAATATATATGTATCATATATGAAATTTTAATTTTAATACTTGTGGATTTGTTGATTTATCTTTATTTATAAACTTTATTTATCATTTATTTATTTATTTATCATTTATAAACTTTATTTATCATTTATTTATTTATTTATTTATTTATTTATTTATTTATTTATCATTTATAAACTTTATTTATCATATTATTCTCAGACTTTATTTATCATTCAATATTAAACAGTTATTTTTTAGAAAAGAGCGAAGTTCAAGAAGAAGGATCATTTGAAGAAAATCCAGTTGCAGAAAAGCAAATTACTGAGCCACCTGGATCGAGAGAAGTAAAAAAGTAGGCCTTTTTTGTCGGCATGTTTCAAATGATTTATTAACTTTTCCAATACTAAAAAAGAATAACCGTAATCTTTAATATTAAACTATGAAATTCTTTACAGTGAATCGTATAAAAATACTTCTGATTCCGGAAATAATTCTCTCTCACCGACCATGCAAGTAAAACCATTCTTTTTCCGTTATTTTCATAATAAGGAGAAAAATATTGTACATAGCAGGGAATAGCATGTAGAAAATCTTTCTGGAAAAATTCCGATTATAGATTGTCGAAAAGAAAAAAACGGAAATTTTGCATCACTTACGATCAGTAGAATGAAAGAAGCAATCTTTGCTTTAACATTGTCACGACCAGTCGTTGTAATTATTGAATAATCTATCTGAGAAAAAGTTTTATATTATTTTGAGATAAAATAATTGTCTATTAAGGTGAAGAAAAATCGTGGAACAAAGGGTAATACTGATGAAACGATTATATGAAGAATATAGCATAGATAATAATCCAAGATAAAAATTCGACGAAATTATTCATATTTCACTTTCTTCTTTTTCATTTTGTTGTATTTATCTATGTCAGATATAAATTTTATGGCTTTAATTTAAGAAATCAATAAAATGATTTCAAAGTATCTTAACGGATCCGTTATTGATTCATAATTTCTTCTTTGCCAGAAATAATTTATATCGGAACGACGATTATCACCAGTTTATTCAATGCAATGTGCGCCAATCTTTGAATAAGTGATAACTTGAATTTTTTGCATTGAAGTGAATTAGTTTGAAAATTAAATTAATTTCAAATTAATTGATCAAATAGCAAAAGCAATCTTTACACCTGTAAAAAAGTATTTAAAGAAAATATAGCATGAATTTTTGAAAGCAAAATGAAGCTCATTAAAAAGTCCAAAATAATGATTGAGGAGATTAGCTCATTTTCAGTAATTCTTTTGTTTTATAATAAACGAAACAAAATGAAGCTTATTACAACGATGAATGTCATTTTAATTTCTTGCAAAAAATGCCAATAATTTAGTTTATGAAATTTTAAAATTTTAAAGTTCAAAGTGCAAAAATTTATGAAGATTCAAAAATTACCAATGTTTACCTTGTGCTCTAACCAGTTCCGATCTAAAAAATCAATTATTCTGCCGAAAATTCGTTTTTCTTTCGATCACTTCTTCAATTTAAAGTTTGTTGATGTATTTTCGTCTTATCTTCAAAAATTTCTGTATTGTTGACCTTTTTATCGTATCTATAGTTCTTTATTGTTGACCTTTTTATCATATCTGTATTTTCTTGTTTTGTATTATTAAAATGAAATGGAAGTCAAAAGAAATAGTCCAACCGAAGTGATGTTGAAGTAATTTGTGGGTCTATTCTTTAAAAGCCTATCCTCACTGCTAAAATAAGCAAAAAATGGAACCAAATAAAATGACTCGACCCTTACACTATAAACTAAAAGTTGTTGAGAGATTAATTAAACATGTACTTTATTTTGCTGATAATAAAGCAGCAGCAGCATTTTGGCTGTATGTTGAAGCAAATATATCATCACTGATATTTAGCATTATGAAACGGTTAATTATCGTTTCGAAATGATGCCATCTTCAGGTATTCTACTGTCTTGTATGTTCGATGTATGAAAATTTTCTAATCGATTCCTTATTTTATTAACTTTTTCAATGCAATTTTGATAGATGAAGAAAAGATGGCATCAAACATCCTAAATTATCTTACTGTAAAACATTTAAAAGATACTACGACTGCGATCGTTTTGAAAATAATTTTATTCATTATAAAAAGCCGTTTTGTTAACATCTTAAATGAACCTAACGATTTACAATGCTGTCAATATTTCTGCCACAACTACTGCTACTGAATCGATTGTAAAAGAGAACTAAAAATGTTCCTCTCATTTTTTCCCTTCTTTAATAAAATTAATCATTTTGAATCAATAAAATGATAAAATAACTTTGAGGAAAAATATGTGAACACTTTAATAAGACAATGAAGAGCAAAGCGCTCATTGCAACTGTCACTAAAATATGATAAATTAAAATAATAAAAACTAAAATACTAAAATAATAAAATATAAATTTTGTAAAACTTTTAAATTGTTAACATTGTTAAACGGTTGATAAGAAATGAGAGGTGGGTCGATTAATTATTATTGTTTGATATAATTCAGAGATAGGCAAATGATCGTTGATAATTGATAGCACCGTTTTCCTATTAACACGCTCTAAAGTTATGGATTGATGAAAAATAGCCTCCTAAGTATGGTGGATAATAAATGATTTATGTTTCTTTGGTAACGTATCATTTCCATAAATAGAAGAAAATTTATTCATCAAGAAAATATAAATGAATTACGGTTGAGAAAAAAGCCTAACTGGAGATGTTTATTTAGAAAGTGGTATCAAGCAGAAAAGCGCTCCAACACCTTCCGCTTCTATTCGCAATTCGCAAATCACTTCGCAAACTAATCATTCCGCAAGTGAAGATTCTGTTTTCCAGAATGTGCAACAATTTGCTAGAGCAAGAGAGCAGCGAAACAGGCAACCGCAAACTACGCAAGAAATAAATATATTTTTCATTATATCATTGACCTGTTTTGGAATACAGATAATTGCTGCATTTATCTGCATTGGCTTTTCTATATATCAGGTAGTTAATTAAGCAATTAACTGAGCTCAGTTTTAGCTCTTGTAGAAATATTATTCTTTGAAAATGATAAATTGAAATGCTCATTTGTATTTTGGTTATCATTTTCTTCTTATAATATTAAATTAATGAATGACCTTGTATTTAAAGCAAATTTCTGCTAACTCAAAATTTTTAAATTCAAGAAATAGAATTGAACTGTTGTAGGTTGCCAATAATGCTCAGATTGAATCTGGTATTGCTTTTCTTCTCTTAGCATTAATACCAATGATCGGTGCTATTGGTGGTATATTTTCTGCCTTGACGAAAAATCAAAGTAATACTTTGACCTATTACCTTTTCAATTCTCCTTTACTTTCTCTAAAACTTCGTCTTCATCACATTTTTGTTCAGTTAGCTATTTGACAACCGGTGATTCGATGTTGAATTTCAGTAAGGTAGGATCAGAAGCACTTCATGATCTTATCCTTAATCATCAGCTTCATTTTCAAAATCTGATTTAGTTGTAATACTTTTCAGCCCTTGCAATGTGCACATCGGCTTATAATGCGGTATCAATTGTTGGAGTAATTACGGCAGTGATCAACGTGTATTCATTCGAAATCAATCAGCCATTTTCTCTCAGTGGTTTCATTCAGGTGGCGGGTTTTGTCGCGATTGTTCAGGTAAATTTTTTTTAAGCAGTAGTGACTATCTTAATTTAAATACTAAAATCTCTGTAAAAGTACTTCCATTCTTTCATTATGTACTTTACAAGATGATGAGAATATGCACGAAATAGTTGAAAATTTCTAGCAGGCTAATTTAAAAAATTTCGGTATTAGTAAATCAAAACAAAATTAATCATTAATCAATATTTATAGACAGTTTCATTCGGAATAGTTCTGATTCTCTATTTCAAGCTATCGTCTTCTGCTACAACTATAATTTATCCAGAACGTTCTGTTTTTTATCAAGCAAGTATGTTCTTTTGTATCAAATAAGCTATTAATTTAATGAATAAACGCTGATTACCGTTTAATAAAGATTGCCTGCTAAAGAAGGATGAAGTATTAATTGTTAACTTTTATCCAATATATTAATATACCTAAGCAGTGAAAGATAAGGTATTTACAGAAGAAACAATATTAATAGTTAGCAAAAAATCTTGTAAGGAAGGGCTCATAAGAAATTTAAAATGATCACGTTGTATTAGCAAAAATAAAATAAATTGGAATGAGTGAAGTTTTGCATGATTAAGGTTAATTTCTCTTCAATTTTAATATATATTAATCCATTAGCGTTCTTTTGAATTAATTTACATTAGCGATTTTGAAATATATAGAATATGTTGACAGATAGTAGGAAAGTTTGGCCTTTTCATTAAAATACGATTATCTCAATTCTTTAATAATAATGATATTAATATTAATAAATTATGCTTTCTAAATACTATAAATTTCTTGTAAGGTATTCCAGATGCAGAAGTGCAACGAAGTGGTAGACGATTACATGGCAGTGATGCAACGAAGTGGTAGAGAATCATATGATATTGATGCAACGATGTTAGGAGTATAGTATAGATAATAATCCAAAACAAAAATTCGACGAAATTATTCATATTTCTCTTTCTTCTTTTACATTTTGTTGTATTTATTTATGTCAGATATAAATTTCATGGCTTTAATTTAAGAAATTAATAAAATAATTTCAAAGTATCTTTACGGATCCGTTATTGATTCATATTTTGTTCTTTGCCTGAAATATTTACATCGGAACGACGATTATCACCAGTTTATTCAATGCAATGTGCGCCTATCTTCTGATAGATAGTTTTGATAAACATTAAAATAATACTTTCAAATTATGAATTAAAAATTAACATTCATTTTTAAATTCAAAATAATTCTGTATATGAATTTACGCAAACCCAAAAATGAAAATTTTAAGAAAATGTGAAGATTTCTCTCTGGATGCCAAGTAATGGAGGGTTGATAAACATTAACTCATAGAAGATATCGTAGAAGCATATTTGATGAAAATAGGATTGATTGGTTTGAAAATGATTTATGGGAGGTTTCGAGGTATTTTTGCTACTGTACGCTTCCACATTGATCTTTCAGTATTCTTTCCAGAAGGATACAGAGAATCTATAATAATCTTTTTTTCAATTGCTTTAGCGAACATAGCTAACTAATAGCGATGTTCTCTTGCCGATACATGTTACTCGCTAATTAATAACGAATGTTAGATTAATTATTCAAACAAGTAAAAAGACCGCAGGAAATGTTTTTAGTTTCAAAGCTATAAATAAAAAAGTGGAGTATATTTACTCAACGTTGACAATTAAGGAATTTTCTTACTCCTTTCTTTCATTCAAATTGTTTTTCAATAGGTTGCACTTGAAATAAAAGATTTACCTGGATGGATACAAGTTATACAAATTTTGTTTGATTTAAAGATGGAATATCTGTTATGACTAATTGAAAAATTTAATGCACTTCCTTAACTCTCTTAATATGTTTCATTTCTTGTTGAACCGTTTGTTTTAAATTTGACCTTATTCTTGTTGAATGACACTTACTGAAAGATTTTCATGTCAACAACTCTCGCACAATCTTAATAAATAAAATATTTATTAGCTAGAAAATACCCATTGAATGTTTTTATAGAACAATATTAGTGTTCGCATTCTCTTAACTTTCTCTCTTCTTCAATCGCTGCTTATATCAGATAATTTTAAAACTGTACAAGCATTTGATTTCAACAATTATTCAAAATAAAAGTAAAATACATAATAATGAAGCATAAGTTCAAATGAGAATTATTAAGTTTAAAAACATAATCAGGAGAGTAATTCAAAATTTTGATTTGCGTTTCGTAAAGGGAAGTGTCAGAGCTCACCTCAATAAATTCACAGAAATAAATGAAAATAATTCCGCTCCATTCAAAGCAGTAGTTTGGAGGTATTTTACTTTATATGAAAAAATCATAATAATCTCCTTGGTCCTAATAACATGAATCTGAAATAAAAATATTTTTTATCGATGATATCTGTTGGGCTAGCTTTCGAATTCAGAGAAATGATGATGACGTATATTGTATAATAATTACTGCAGGCCATACCCATATTCAATATTGGCAGTTAATAAATCTGCAAAGAAGCTTAAAAATAGATCGCATTAAATATTTACATAAATAAACAATTCAGATTTATTTCTTCGTTAGAAAAACATTTCTAACCAACACAAAAATATGATGCTCTTAAATTAAATGTTGCAAGATTACATTTCATATGTTCACTTTTTAAATAGACTGAATATGCGCATGACTTGTATTATGGTTAGTAAGTAAGACTGACTATAATACAAGTCATTCGCATATTCAGTCTATTTAAAAGTGAAGGCCGTGTAAGAAAAGGGAAAGCATGGGATACGAAATACAATAATAAGGCTCTAAAAATGCTTAAAAAAGGCACCAAAACGACTAGAATATCTTAACTTAAATGACGAAAAGCAGTATTATTTTTAAAAATCTATATCACAAATTCCATTAAATGAGAGGCAATCAAAAAAAACGTAATATCGAAATAAAATCTAGCAGAATGAATGAAACCTTTTTGTTGCCAGCTGTGATTGAATCAATGTCTTGAGGAGGATCAGTTCTTCGCTTATGATACCAGTAAACTGGTAATAGTATATATTTCAATAAGGCCCATGGAATCATATGTCGCATTAACATCTATAATTGATTAGAATTGATGATTTTAAGGAGATAAATATGAAAAACAAAATTCACTAAATTAGTCTAAAGAGCTCCTCATAATTTTATAAAAATATTGATTTATTGCACAAAAAAATATCAACTTTCATTAAACAATCATTCCAATATGAAGAACCAATATGATTTGCATTAAAAAAATTCCGATCGATAATAGAAAATAATATTCACTACCTGATTTATTTTAAAATTTTAAACAACCTTATCTAACTCACAAATAAAAAGTAAAAAGTTTGTTGCAATGATTACTTGTAATTCATGACTAAGACATCCGCTTGTCATTTTCGTTAATCCAATTGTCTGAACAGCTTCTCTTGCAAAATCATTTGCATTTTTCACGAATAACGATTTATAATTGTTATCATAGTGCGTCATTTTCGTTGCTACGAGCGCAGGTGTTAAACACTGAACCTTTATTGTAGACCATTCACGATCTATTGCTTCACATAAAAAAGACAACATAACCTGAAAATTTTGTACTAACACTTGTTACCGATAAGTTAAAAATTAGTGAAAAAATCAAAGTAAAAGAATAGAAGCCGACAAAAAATGATAAATGACTGTAACGAAACACCTACTTTTGAAGCGCAGTAAGCTGCAATATACGGAACGGGTCTAAAGCCTTGGGAAGATGATAAAACAACAATTTGTCCACCACCATTCTTTTCCATTGTTGGTAGAACTATTGATAAGAACTGAAACGCAATTTGGCTTATTGCATATTATATTAAAACTTTTATTTCAGCTACTTTACTAAATCGTTATAAATAAAAACTACCGTCAATTCAATCAAGAAAGAACTGAAAAATTTATCCATTGCACTAGGGGTGCTTCAAGGACAGCTAAAAAATTTAGCAATTATTAATTTAAAAATTTTATAAAGAACAATTTTATTTACTTCAGCGGCACCTAGTCCATTCACTTTAAGCAATTTGCGATCAGCTTCTGGATTATCGCCATATCGCTCCATTCGTTCACGTCCAACACCAACACTATTTACTATAAAAAATTATGTTTCAACAAATTTTACCAACTGTGTGAAGAGTTATTTCATGTATCAAACATATGCTTGAATTTCAATAACTATGGAAGAATGAAATCTCAAAATGTTTCAAATACTGACGAAATAAGCCTAATTTAACCATTTTCATTATTAAAATTGAAAAATATAGCAAACACTTACAGACAAAACCGACATCGATGTCCTCAATAAATTTTCTCATTTCACTATAATCACCATCATAGAAATCGAACAAATATGTCTGCACACGAGCACCAAATTTGTTCTCTAGAAGATAGAAGAAGAGCTTATAGTGCAACAAATTTTTCGGAAATCTTTTACCGAAACATGTCAAGAATTTGAAACTATTCGTTTTTCAAACCAAAACTTCAAAAAAAACTTATCAATTTTGAATTAGACTCCTACCCAAATAAGTTTTCATTTCTTGCAGTTTTATTTCATTTCGACCAATTAACACAAATTTGCGTAATCCATTTCTTGCTAGTTCAATTGTGTATGCCTTCCCAATACCGTCTGTTCCACCAGTAACAACTGTAACATTGAATTTTGAAAATAATTAAAAGCGTTAATCCAACATTGTTGTAATGACAGGTAACCTGTCCAACGCCCTTTGTATAGATCAAAATTAGGCTTATAAAATAAGTGAACACATACTACAAGGCCAGCTAAAAATATTGAAGATTAAATCCGTATGCTCGGCATGCCTATATATGCTTTCATTTCATAAAAATCTTATAAATTAAGACAAAAGACAAAAGAGTAGAATCTCATGCAAGATGAAATCATAATTTGTAGTAACAAATAGAAAATAAAGTGCTTAATCATATTTGCACAATTTGTTCTCAATAAATTGAAATTTGGATTAAAAGAAATAGTTGTAATGATAGCTAACCTGTCCAACGCCCTTTGTATGGATCAAAATTAGGTTTATAAAATAGTGGAGCGATGAGATATATTGCAATAGTTGACCAAAATGCCACAACTGTCCTGACGATACGATAAATGACATGTGTCTTGAGAATCCAGTATAATACTGAGGAGAGACAAAACATCTGAAGTAACAAAAATTATGAGTAAGATAATTTCTGACTTCGAAGAAAGCCCAAATTTTAATTTTAGCTTTCAATTCGATATTTTCGAATTTAACTTTTCCACTTTTCCATACTTAATATTCCCAATGCTTTCGACGTAATTAGCTCATTATCAGCTAATATCTTGAATGACACTTTTTGAGACATGATGAAAATGGTAATCATTGTTGTTAATTTGATGATTTAATAAGAGTGAACAAAAATTGAAGGTACCATACGGAAAGTTACAAATGAAACTAAAAAAAGGAAACAGAATGATTTAGGAAAAAAATAAATATCAGAGAGAAATAGACCAGCTTTCATGAACTAAACAACGAATTACCATCCTCTTCCATTTCACTGTGTCAGGTACTCTCTTCATTTATTAATAAAACAGGACAACCTCGAAAAAACCCGTTTTGTTAACTTTCTACTCTAACACATTACTGGAAAAAAAAAACGGTAAAGATTTCATTTCAATTTAGACACTTAAATATCATAATTTGATGATTTAATAAGAGTGAACAAGAATTGAAGGTACCACACGGAAAATTACAAATGAAAATATTTACTTATTCAGTCAATCTCATTAAATATTTATAATCCAAGGAGTAATTGGAAATGCAACAATTAAGTAATCCTAGACTGCTTTGTTTTAAAAAAAATGATCAACGAAGAGAATGATTACTATTAACACTCCTTTTATATTATATTGATTGAATAAGTAAATTTAGAAGAAAGCCTTTACTAATTAACTAATTTCAAAATCAAGAAAATTAACTGCTGTTGATATATAACAGACTATATATAACAGAGGTAAGAGTATTTTTGTATGATATCAGAGAAACTAGTTATCATGGGTATAATCTGAAAATTTAGATTGACCTTTGTCTCATTAAATATTTATAATCCTAATGCCCATGAATCATATTTCATTTCATATTTTAAATTATGTCATTAGTAAATAAAAATCGAAATGATGATAAACATTAAAAATAATAAGAAAATTTTGTGCTGAATTACAGGAAGAAGACAATTGCTGTTATTTGAAAGTAAGGATCAAGTGTGGCAGCGCTGAATTTTACAAAATGTATTTAAAGGTGTGAAAATGGCATACCCATCATTGTCTGATGCTCGGTTATCGAGTATTTAATCGACGCCAAGAGGAACCCGATCACAAGGTCAAATGGCACGGTTACAAAGTATTTAGCGAAGCCCTTCCTCTTCTCTATGTTTCTCTGCATAACATAACTTCCGCATCATTTATTAACTATGGAAATTTCATCATTATCGAACTGTATCAAGCACACATAGTTCTTTGCGAAGCGAACGAACAAAACCATCGGATCATTCAGCAAAATAATTTCAAAAGTGCGTTTCAATGTCAAATTATCCGATGCACATCTTTTGAAATTTAGTTTTCTTATCAGATGAATCGTTATACATGAAAAAAAACTTGAACAGTACGTTGAAAAAGTGTTAGAAATAATGCCAGCAGTAATATAAAGGATGTCATGACATAGTTTAGTTTGATATAAAAAGATTGGGTTAAAAAGTTCAAAGAGGGAAAAAAATCTGCGAGAAATTGATCCATTCATTCATAAATCCAAATTGCAGGTCTATGGTCAAAAACATTTAATGTGGGACTGATTTAACATTCACGCACTGTATTTCTGATGAAGATTACCACTCAATTGAAATGTAAACTACAGCTTCTGTAATGTGAAAAGAAATCGCTAAAGAGCAGTTGGTAATAGCGATTTCGTAAAAGCGGTTCATGTGAAATAATACTATCTATTTCGCACTTAAATGACAATTGCAAGAATATACTTTCATGAAACTCTCAAAGAAAAGCAACCGGAACATTCCCCTACATCAACTATACCTTCTGCTTTGCCATTATCCAAAAAAATCTGATCCGCAGTAATTATAACATCCTCGCAATTTGATATTCCATAGATAGTAAATGGTTATATGAGAGGAGAGTCGAAATCAAGAAACAAGTATCATACATTTCATAAAAATCATCTATCATTCCTCTAGAATCATCACTATATCCCTTTCAAACAAGATTGTAAAGCATAAAATAAACTAAAATCCACTGCAACTTGAATAACATCTCAAGTTTTCTATAAGTAAAATTGTGTGAGAAAACAAAAAAGCATTTCGTTAAAATTTATTTTCCAGATAAAATGCAAGTTAAATTTTATTCTTAGCCCAATAAATATATACATAGGATGGGGGCAACAATGGATAACCGACACCTCACCATTTCAATTGCATATTGGCAGGCCAAATTCAAAATACAGCAAATCAGATCAAAATACTTGAAAATAACTTTGAAAATTTCCATTCAATCATTGAAAAAAGTTTTAGACTACTTTAAAATTAATTCCGCAATAGCAATTTAAAAATAGCCTTTTGGAAACCAATGTAATATAACAAACCACTAAAATGCCTTTATGAATGGATATAACTCATAAATAAATTAAACCGTTCTGCTCCTACAGCAACATTTTCATGTTATTTTAAATCGAATTCGTTAATAAACTAAAAACAAAATAATGCATACAATTTTTAGACACAAATATACTGATTTTAATGATTAATGAAATAACTCATTGATTCCAAATGAAACTACATATTTTGATACGTTGCAAAAATTAGAAACTTTAAAAATTTAATGAAGCTAGAAAATAAATCAATATGAAGATTAGAATGCCAACTTTTGAACGAACTGTTCATGCCAGTAATTTCATTTGCAAACCCATCTATTACTTCTTAAGAAAAAATCAGCTTACATTATTAAAATTTTGACTCCTAAAAGATAAAAAAATTAGTGATATTAGGCAAGGAAAGTATTAAAGAGGCGTATACGTGTTGCATCCCAATATAACGTTGAAAATTGAAATGTCAATCGCCAAACGTATGGAACAAAAAATTCCACCGTATTATCATCTTCCACATATTTAAATTTCAATTCTGGAAATTTCTTCAGCCTGAAGAAAAATAAATTTTTAAAACAGTTGAAGAGCTACACAGTGGCAAACACTGATCAAATTCAAATTGACTATCACCTACCAAATTCATATTAGCAGATTCATAAGAAAACCTGCTGATGGAAGTTAAAATAGTGTTGTCTAAACATGACATTATCTGTGCAAACTTAAAAAAACCCAATGTATGCACCACTAATCTGATAATTCATTTAAAAAATTCTTCTTTCAATAAAAGTTTATGAAATTTCGAAACCAAAATATATTCAACTTGTATAGATCTGCAGAAGCAAAAATCAGCACATACTTGAAAAAAAAACGTAAGCAGATGTGGATAGAAAAAACAAAAATTATATGCACCACTCAAGAAATTAACCTATCAGTAGGCCAGTGAAGTGCTCCTTTCTCGATTGTAGCAAGAACATCGCTCACAGACGATCCCCTTTCCAGAAGTTGTACTCGTGATGCAAAATGATTAATAACCTAAAACTTATAGATTATAATATCAAAAAAGCATGAAAAGTTACGAAATATTTAAAAACAAAATTAAAATGTTGGAAAAGCTAGAATTTCTTCTAAGATGAACTAGACTACTTCAAATGCAACGGCGTTTTTTCATCACCTAACTATAATTAATCTAAAGACATATAAAGTGTTTTCTTACGGCGCAAATATTCCAAATCAGATCCTGGAACATCGGATGATTTTGGAAAGCATCAAACAGATCACGTTTGTAAAGTATGGTATAAATGAAGTGTGGGTTTGCGCGAAGATTTGATGTAAGACAACTGTTGCAAATTTCGAGTAAACTGCGTATACCTTCTTCCAGAGCCGTTATATCCTTATGCTGCAAGATAATTTCAGTACAAAAAGGAATTTTTTCTCTAATTTATGGATGAAAGATTGAGAGAAATTAATGTGGAAAATTTACATAATTATGCGACTCTTTTTCTTGCATAATATCATATTCAGCTCTGACGCGCATATTTTCAATTAATTTTGCATGCCGTCGAGTAAAAACCTAAAAAATGAGTATTAATGCTAGTTTTCGCAAAATATGTGAAGAAAGTGAAAATGGGCTTTGTTCAAATGCATTCGACTGAACTATAGAGTCAGGACTCATAATTATTAGAAATCAACAAAACAGATGAATTCATTATAGCAACTACCCACTAGTAATTCATAGGATATGAGAAAATAAGCAGTATGAACAGCAGGATTGTTCTTAACAATTTAAATTATTCAAACAAACATATTTAGCAGGAAAACCCATGAAAGCTCCAAAAGTTAATATTATGCAAAACTTCACTTGAAATTTTCGTACCTCAAGTAATCCAATCAATTTTTGACAAACAATAGATGTGAGATTTTTGAAATAGGATGACATATTCGCTAAAGCTGCAAGACAGTTTGTATGAAGATAACGATCCTGCAAAAATGAATAAAATAAATATTGCAAGATATTTAATGAGACATGGAAAATGACTAAATTAGTAAGAATAAGAAAGCAATAGGGAATGAATGACGCTGAACAAAACGAAGTATTCCTTCGGCAGTATAATTTTAGGCTTTTTCAATCTAGAAAAGAATTGGCCTGAACTCAAAACATTGCAGCAATGTTTTCAACATCGGATAAATGAATGATCAAACAAAGAAATATAAACAAATGATATATTTTGTTTACCATACATTGCAGAAGAGATCGTGCGATATTAGCAGGATTTCACAAAAAATGTGCATAAAATCTTCCGAGTACTTTACGAAATACTATATGAAAAGAACGATGTATTTTTTAAACTATTCCAAACCTTTGTTTTCAGAGTGTTAAACTGTATAATACGGACAAAAACCAAGATAATTAAACCACCCAATGAAATCTCTCCTAATGGACGTTCACTGTTGAACCATGTTGTATCCTTTATCATCTATAAATTTTTTAAAAATAAGTAGACAAAAAAATCGATAAATGAATATAAAAAGAAAACCATGACTCCTTTTCAAAATTTCATCATATATAATCATCAGCTTTGATACCACTGGTGATATAGCTATGCTAGAGTCGTTAAAAAAAATGTCTCACCATTTCATGGGCAACTTTACAGAAAAAATCGTCTTCGCTAAGAATCAGGATAACAATAAGTGCCAAATATACATGATGTGCATCATATGAATTAGTCGCACCACTTCTCTGGGCTCCATTATTAAGAACAATCAATACTGGAAGTACCTGAAACAAACACCAATTAGATAAGCAACCATGCGATAAAGAGTAGTGACGTAGCATTCCAAATCCAAATTGAAGCTTGAAATCTTAACATCCATTCAATAAAAAAGTGAAGTCTGAAACGTCTTCTAAATCAACTAATTTTGTTAATTAACCTCAAAAATAATGCCAAAAACTTACTAGTTTTTCTAAATTGATTCTTGAAAGAACATAATTTCGAAAACCAACGTTCCTATGCAACAATATATACAGAAATAACATAGGCGATTGTTGATTTACTGTAGCACATAAGCGTTCGTATAAATTACTATAATCTAGCTTGAACATGCTACTTTCACTATTGTTCAGGGATGAAATTTCTGCAAATCAGGAAAATCAAATATACATTAATGGGTGAAAAGAAAAAGATTTGACTGTTTACAATTAGCTTCTCGTAGAAGACGGCCACCAACAACGTCTAGCGCAAAAAAAAACTGAATATTTATACCACCTTACGACTTGGGAGAGTTCTGGCAAATATCGTGATGAACTAATTTCATCAAGTACTGTAGTAATTAGAAACAACTGTAGTACATATAAACCAATCAGTAGTGACTATGTGCCATAAAACGTTGATAGAAACTGTAGTGCATAAAAAGGGCTGAGGTTAAAAACCTGGAATAATATTACCAAAATCGAACTTAGTAGTTAATGGTAGTTTCATTCTGGCTTTTTAAAATGTAACACTAATGTGACAGTCATGTCAAACTTGAAAAAATTATTAGATTACCTTGAGAATTCTGAAATTTTGAAAGCGACTCCTTATAAGGATTTAGACTTGGTCCTGAATCTTGGTGGCATGCTAGATTAAGTAAGAGAAGTATAGACAGTGATCCAAGAGAGATTGGCGGTGTAGTTTCGCCACCATTAACTGAATTCGAATCATCTATTCCCGTGACAATTTGTACTGCTGACCAAACGGATGCTTAAATAGGCAGGAGTTATTTCACAAGTAACGCTTACAAAATTAAGTGTTGCTTACGCATAACATGAATATTTATTGAAGTTACTCCTAATTCCTGAACGTACTTCAGAGCAATTATTCAGTAACTACGGATATGAGAATCATCGACAAGCCAAGACCTCAATAAGCAAGCAATATAAAAGTCTCCACTTTAAAAAACGAAACTTGAAATGAGACAAACCTACAAGGCCCAGAACAATACTTTCAGGCTCTTTCTCATGTTCAATGACACATGGAGTGTTTCGCTGCAGATAATTTAATATTAAGGCTTGAGTGAGTTCCAAAGACCTTTTTGAGCTAAAAAAATATATAATTATCGTAACTTCCATAATTATATTGAATTTAGCTTCATCTTTAATACTGGAAATATTATTGCTAACCATTTGCCTTGTGTTAGATATCCGTAGAAAATATTCGACTTCATAACGTCGTCGTCATAAAGCTGAGAACTAAGCAGAGCCATTAAGCATTTTACAGTTTCGATGTGAATTGTTTCCGTGGAATCACTAGAAAATATATGATAAATATAAGGCGTATATCGATTACTTCTAATCTATATACAATAATATGTCAATGTATGATCGATAATATATCGATCATTTTTAATTTTAATTTGCAACAGCGATGCCTTAAAAGAAATAATATAATTTACTTGGAAGGCAAATCAACCAAAATATCCACCAGAGTGTCCAAAAATTCTTCCGCCCTGTTCTCACCAAGACCATCAAATTCTTCTTCAAAATCAGAATCACTGGCTGAATAGAAACTAATATGAATTTTGGTTACAATTTATTTCTAAATTACTGCGCTAAAATAATCTTAAAAAAGACTCATAAAAGAAACGTTAGCAAAAAACAATTCAATCTCCTTTTAGACCACTTATACATTTAAAATGTAAAGATAAGCAGGAAATAAGATCACTAACCTTCCTTCTTTTCCAAAGAGATTTTATTCATGTGGAAAACCTTGATGAATTCAGCCTCACTAAGTCTTTGAACCAAAAACTTGCAAATATACCGAAGAATGATTAACGCATTTCCTGTTTGCCAAAGAAAAATTGTGCTGCAAAACCCCACGTAATGCCTTGATAATCAAAAAATATCTCGATGGACCAAAAGATTCCATTAATATCGATACCTCGAAAAGTATTAATGAAAGAAAAACAAACAAACTGATAACTATTCTATGGTACAAAACCTAGAAGTTCAAGCAAAAATTATGGTTTCTCAATAAAGTTGTTCCAAAGAATGATATCAATTTTCTTTACTTGTTGCAAATTTCTGAAGCCTTTAATTCTGCTGTCCGTCTGAGGAAGACATGAACAAAAGATGCGAAATTGCAGGTTGTTGGTGTATTATACATCAGCGACTGGAGACTATCCGATAAAGAAACATCAAATTGCTCGACTTCCTTTCTTTAAATCAAAAAAACACTTTGTATTTAAAATATTGATAATAAAATAACATAAAGGGAAGTCTTTGATTGAAAAGGGCCTTTTTGCATTAAACACACGTTGAGCCTGCTTAACATTTGATCGTCAGGCGGAAGAGATAGTTTGGATGGATTACTCGTTTGAATTAAATGCTAAGTCTGGACTTCAATAACAGTTGACAGTAGAATTTTTCTTCTCAATCCCAGCATTTTATAACTGGCAGTAGTTAATTAATAGTATTGAAGAGTAACCTGTCATTGGAATCGATGAGGAAATTGAATGAAAGGAAGTGATTCCAGAATGGATCATTATCACTGATCGGTTGCAAGCCAACAAAACGTCGTAGATATGCATTTTCTTCGATCAATGTTTCACTACTAATTTTTGCTCCCATTCAGAATTCTAAAAAGAAAATCAAATTTCTAATTTGAGGTGATAATAATTGTCTAAGCTGAGTTGTCATAAAATGTATGAACAACATAAGAGTGTTAAAACGCATTATGCAACATATCATACCAAAACTCTCAATGTCAAACGTGATGCTAAGGAATGGATGATTTTGATATGATCACAAAGTGTAATAAGAATACGCAAATTTACGCTACTATCGAATTCGCACAATATGATGAAATGACCTCTCATACTACTCCCAATCAAATGACCTCTCTCTCTCTCTCTCTCCCTCTCATTCTACAAGATCTATAATAATTTATCATTCCAAACTAACATATTATCTGTTAATGTTATCTTTTAATACTTCGTAAATTTGGTAGGAAAATTAACATCAATGTTACAGAGAGAGAAGAAAGAGTATAGTTAATGAACAGAATGAGGAATAACAATTCATCAAATGCTCATCTATTTTACTATTTTTTTTTTAAATTTAATTTTAAATTTTAATAGATCTCCCTGAGGTCAAGACTCTTCATAGAAATTCTTTATGAAATTAAAAATTGCAATATAAACCTGTAAGGTATGTAAGATGTGTAAGATTGTAAGGTATGTAAGATAATTATGTAAGGTATACAAGATTTTCTTTCTCTTCTCATCATCCAAAAAAATATCTTCATGTTCTTATCACATTTACTATTTCATTAACTGATAATGCTTATGAATGATGATACATTCGTTACTTGTAGTAATTCAATTTCGATATATAATTCCGGTATACTTGATTAATTTGAATTTAATAAATGTGTGAAGTGGTAGTAAATGATGGTAGACATTCTTAAATTAATATATGTCCTTCTTTATCAGTAATTATAGCTATACTTGATTAATTTGAATTTAATAAATGTATAAAGTGGTAGTAAATGATGGTAGGCATTCTTAAATTAATATATGTCCTTCATTATCAGTAATTATAAGCACAAAATTAAGACAACCTAAGTTTTGAAAAAAGAAACGATTACGTTTATACGAAAAGATTATTAATTATTAAAAGATTATTAAAAGATTAAAAGATTATTAAGATTAAATTAAAAGATTAAAAGATTATTAAAAGATTATTAATTATCTTTCTATCATTCAGCTTTGAATAAATGATAACAAAATGTTTATCATTTCATAAGATTTTAAATATGCAAATTTGAGTTAAATTCAGTTCCAGCATATTTATACGGAATAACACGTAAGAATAAATTTATTAGTAAGGAAAGAAATCAATCAATTAATTAAATAATTTGCAGATTGTCTTATCAAATACTTCCACACTCGAAGTGCTAATAGTTTTTTGGTGAATTTTTCTTACTACTGGGGTCGAAATAAGGTGAATTAAGTAAGACTTTAGCATTTATTAGAATTGGTTAAATACCATTGTAACTATTATTTGACGCTTTGATTAAAATAAATATTCTTTTGCAAGCATATTGATTATGCTAATTTTCTGCTATTTTTGATTTTGAACAAATTTTGCAAGTAGAAATTATTTTATCTAAGCCTATCATATTTTAAATGACAGATTACTCATTTCAAAAAAGCATTTGATGATATGAATCTCAAATACTATTTGATTCTCTCTCCATATAATCAGGAAAATGTTAAGCTTTTCAGGAAATGACAATGTTTACTTCTATCTAAGTAATACTCAAATGTTCGACTAATTAATTTGCAAAATTAAAATATGACTTAGCGAACAAAAAAAACTGGAGTTGTCAGCATCTTGTGACTTCACATTGCTGTTATTCTGATTTTCATAACATAATATTTTGTTACATTTAATCATTGATGTATTGATGAATGAAGAAAGCCACGAGCAGTATTTTATTTAACTACGTGTATCGAAGAAATTTGTAAGTTTACCTTAACTAATTCATTATTTATGCTTTAACGAATTCTTTTGTCTTTCATTCCTCCTTTCTTCCTTAGAATTGTTAATTGGTAAGGTGGTCAATCATCTACACCTGACATTCTTTAATTGCCTGGTGATCGGTATATCAACTTTTCTGTAACTTCCAGCATGATCGAAATTCGATTTTCTTTATAATCATTTACGATCTGATTGTTTGAATAATTCACAAGTAATTTACTGCTAGGAATTACTTTATGATAAGTTAAATAAGTTAAACTTTTTAAAACCCTTTTTATAATCCTATAATTAAAAAAAAACGTTCAACTTTTGTTTTTCTTAATGAGTTCTAGCACATTAGTTACCTTTAATAAATACCTTTTTTTACCGTAAGTCAGAACAAGGATTCATTTTTTATTTAAAAAATTAATAGATATTTTCTAGGATCTATTACTGGACAAATATCCGACTCCAAGAACTTAAAATTACGATCTATTAGAAGTAATTGGAGCAATTATGTTATCAATTCATCATTTCTTTGCAATATATCTCACAAATGTTTTCTACGGTTTCTCATTGCTGCACCCAACGGCAATCAGTAAGTTCTTTATGAAATTTCTAATTTTTATTAAAATTTAATTAAAACTAAAATTATTAAAACTAAAATTACATGGGCGATGTATCGTTGTTATCTGATGGAAATGTTTTTTGGTATTTCAAAATCTTCTACATTTCTTTCTGGGTCCATTATCAATCAGTATTGACTAGTAGCATGTGATTCAATTACTGCATATATGAAAAGAATATTGAAGTATGGTCAAGTAATACTAAAATATGGAATATTTGAGTAAAATAACGATCAAATGATTGTGCTTTTAGATAATACAGTTATGCCGAGAATGGTGAAAGAATTGGATGTTGATACTTCGCCAGGTTACAGAAAAGCAGCTTATTATTTGCTTTCTTCAATGAATCAGACCGTAAATCCATGTGATGATTTTTTTGAATATTCTTGTGGACGTTGGATATCTGAGCATCCGATACCGAATGATCTTTCTACATACGAGATTTTTGTTTCAGTTCGTGAAAAAGTAGGAGAAAAAATGCGAGGTACTTTGAATTTGATTTTGTTCCATAAAAATTATTAATTCATGATATCATTTATTCTATTTAATGTAAGCAATTATAATTTGACAAATTATCATGAGCGATTTTGGATCTGATTCATTCATTAGCTTAAAACATTAATAACTAGAATTTTACTTATCACATTTTGTAACTGTTGACAGTTACATGAGTTCAGTTCTACTAATTTATGCTGTGTTTTCAGAACTTTATGATTCAAAACAATTGACGAATTCAAAGGCAGTGAATACGGTGAAAATGATATATCATACTTGTATGGACACTAACCGACTACGCAGTATGCAAGGCGAAGAAATTGTTAAAGCTATTAAGGTTCAAGAAATCTCGTATCTTATTTTCCAATCGAGTTATACCATAGTAAATGATACATTTGCTTGAAATATGGAAATTTTATATCAAAATTATTGAGATATTATAAAAAGCTTTTCTCGAACTTCTTCTGGTTGATGGATGGACTTCTTTGTTTTCCATTCAGTTCAACCAATAAATAAGAGTTCAAAGATTTCATAGTCTAATTCATGATTTAAATTATTAAAGATAATTAATTACAAGTTAAATTTTGACATTGCTTAAATAATCCTATATCTGAAATTTTTTTTCAATTTCAGAGATTGCAATTTCTTAAATTTAATTTTAACTGAAGATTTCAATTAATGCTATATTTCTTTGTAATTGTATCGAAATTTCTACCAGAATCTTGGTAACTGGCCAATGGTATATGGAGAAAAATGGCCTGAAGAGAAATTCGATTTCACGGAAATTATGATCCGAATTGCACAGACGCGATTTTCTAGCATTTTCATGAGTATCCATGTATCGTCTGATCAAAAGAATATTTCAAGACGTTTAATTACTGTAAATGAATTCTTTTCTTCTTCTTTTTTTCCACAGATCTACAATGAAACTCGATTTGGATTTTTGTATTTTGAAAAATTCAAAAAGGCATTTAAAATAATGCCGAAATTGTGATTTTAATATATTGATGTTTCCCGTAATTACTGCAAATGAATTCTTTTGTTTTAGAATAATGAGGAAAATACTAATGTGAAATAGTTGTTTTAACATTCTGAAGTTGTAATATTTTCATTCCGCATATTAAGGAGCAAATTTTTCATCAATTAAATATTACAGTTAATTGATAATAAATTTTCAAATAAAAGAAAAGAAAAATATGACACGTATTTATCTTTAACTTTTCCTTCCATCCTTAAAATTGTTTAAATATTTGTTAATTCATTAGCTAACCTGTGATGCTTTAATTACTTGACAGTTTGTATTTTATCTTTTCCGTAACCTTTTAATTTCAAAATTTCCGCAATTAATAATTAACGTTTGAGATACAATAAAATGAGCTTACACGAAGTTTCCAAAAATTTAAAAGGATATAAATGAAATTTCTAACTATTTCATTTTCAGATTGATCAAGGAAAACTGGCACTTGGTTTTGGTACTAGAGAATACTATTTGAATGCCAAAAACTATGCATCACAATTGAATGCTTATAAGGAATATATTATTGACAAAGTATTTCTGAAAAGCTAACTTTTTTTGGCTTTTTTGTAAATAAATTTAAACAAATACATTGTTTTAATATTGTCTTAATTTTGTAAATAAATTTAAACAAATGCATTGTTTTAATATTGCCTTAATTTTGTAAATAAATTTGAACAAATGTATTTTCATGTTTCAGATGTATATGAAATTCAATTGAGCAGTTTACGGTACTATACATATATTAAATTTAGGCAATGCTCATTTCATACGATGCTAGAATATCGAGGAAACGAAGTGAAATCGATAAAGAAGCCGATGATATCATCGAATTTGAGAAGAACCTTGCTCAGGTATTTTTTTGTATTAACAGATTATTATCTTTTTTTTCTATGCTAAATTTATTTATGAAAGACAAATTTAACTTTATATTTTACAGATTATGGTTCCAGAGGAAAATCGAAGAAACTATACTTTGCTATACCATCAATACAATCTTAGTGAGCTGCCCATCTTTATGTCGGAGGTTAGTGATTTTAAATTTCATGCGGAAAATGTTATTTCCATCTTGAGCTTACCATAGCGCAATGTTTATGTAATCTGAATATTATCAATAAGAGAAATTACTCAGTCCATGAATTAGAACTAAAATTGTAACCTCTTTTGGGAACTTATCTTTCGGCTTACCTATATTATCTTCAATAGAATTTCATTTGAGTAAAATATATTGTTTACATTATAATCCTTTCAAACTTTTAATCTATGAAAATAATATCCAATATTGATATTAGTCCATCACTTTTAATGATTACACATTTATTATCTGTTCTTCTCAATACATATCAATTATTGAGGTGACTAAAAAATATATCAGTTGTTGAAAAAAAATTAGTATCCGTCGTTTTTCTAAATATATTCCACTTTTTAGATGGATTGGAATAAGTACTTTCGAGCTGTGATTCCCAATGATATACACTGGTATCTAAATAAAGATCCAATTATCAATATTGTCGATGTGGAATTCTTGAAACGACTTAATGCACTGATAAAGATATGCCTTATAAAATAATATACTGTTGTGCTTAAAAAATTTTGCTCATAAAAAATGAGCAACACTGAAAGAGGAGGATAAGAAACTGATATCACTATCGGATTAAAATGAGATAATCATAAGAAATTTGCTATTCATAACGAATACGAGAATGAGCAAAATGTGATTAGATTGTGCAACAGCGATGATTTCTAGAAAGAAAATTTGAGTTTAGTTTCAGATTTGATGCTTATAAATAAAATCAGTATTATCATGATCCATCTGATTAATCTATCAGAAAAACATGAAATTTCAGATAACGCCTAAACGAACGTTGGCAAATTATATGATATGGTTTTATACATTGACATGGAATTTTCAATTGGATGAACGATACGATGACATTTATCAGGTAATTTTACGGAGAAAAGGAATTTTATAGCGAAAGAAAGAAAATTTAATAGTAAAATTTATCATAATACATTTGAGGTTTCGAGCATCTTAATATTCATTATCTACTTACAAATTAGCCATCATCATAACAAGTTTCAAATAACGATGCGATGACATTCATATATTATCATTGTTGTAATACATATCTAAAAATTTGCATACATGCACCTTTCAAGCTCTGTACCTCGTAAGTTTATATTGCATCTTTTACAATTTATTTATTATATTTATTTATTATAATTCGATTACATAGAGTATTTAATCATTTAATTAGCATTTATTATGATTTATTTATTATAATTTGATTACATAGAGTATTTAATTATTACTTAATTTATTTAATTAGCATGGAGTATTTAATTATTTGGATTGCAAGAAAGTGAAAAAACTTTTCAGAAGTTTCTTCGGATTATTATCGGGAAAAAAATGAAATCATCACGATGGAAGATTTGCAGTCAAATAGCTGCGGAACGAATGGGTTTTGCTGCAGGAGCTTTATATGTCAATTCTTTCTTTAATGAAGTATGATTTTAAAATAGTAACATCACTGATCCTTGAATTTTGGATTTTGCCACCTGATACTTTTATTATAAATCCATATATATTTTAGGCTGACAAGCGATCAGTACTCGAAATGGTGAACCTTTTAAAAGATGCCTTCAAAGAAATGCTGAAAGAATATGATTGGTTGCATGAAAGTACTCGGCAGAAAGCATTACAAAAGATCAATGAAATGTTAAGTTTGATTGGCTATCCAGAATTCATCCGAAATACCAAAAATCTCGACGGGTATTACAAACTAGTATGCAACTACATTTTCTCTACAATAACTATTTTGGAAAAAATTTTTCTCACATCTGTTAGCCGTAGAGACAAAAACTATCAATAGTGCGTTATCGAAATTACGTTTTTACGCTGAAGATACGCTGAAAATTACGCTGAAAATTTGCAATTTACAGCTACATATTTATCCCAATGATACATTTGCTCAAATCATCACAAAGACGTCACGTTGGTCGATGGAACGCTCATATCGAAAATTGGTGAAAACTTTTAAAAGAGCAGAACTTGGTACTTCAGCATCCACTGTGAATGCTTTTTATTCATCGTTTAAAAATGCTATCGGTTAGTTCATTTGCTCTTTATTTAGTTTTAAACTCTTTATTCAACTTTTTAAAAAAAATACGAAAATACCTCAAAAGATCTTTCCCGAACATTAAATCTAAAAGTCAATGTTAGTTTATAATATAATAAAAGCACATGTTGAAAATTTGGAAATTGAAAATTAAGCTTGAAAATTAAGTTGAAAATCATAATTTTAATTTCTGCTAAATTGCAGTATTTCCGGCAGCCATTCTTCAAGCGCCATTTTTTGATCGAACTTTTCCGAAGTTCGATTTCCTCTTATTTACTTCATATTGTATGTAGAAAGAATTCCACATATTTTGAAAATTTTCATCCTAATTTTACAATTGATATAACATAACGAAAAAACAATACTTAATTATTTAATGTTTTTTTTTTTGTTCATTGAGAAGTTGCGATCTTTATTTCCTTGCATTAACATCAATAACTTTGTGTTTCAGAGCCATGAATTTTGGTGCCATTGGATCGGTTATTGGGCATGAAGTGATCCATGGATTTGATGACCGAGGTAACTACAATCATATTCTGTTGCAACGCATATTCGCTACATCTTAAATACACTATAATCAGTAGTACTATTTTTAATTCATGGAAACAATTAAAGTTCATTACCATGCTAAGCATTACCAATCTGTGCATTTCCGTGCTTTGCAAAAACTTTAAATTCAATATTGAAATTACGAAGTAATTCCGATTATCTATATGCTGCTATCTTATTAAAATGTGCTATTGACTGAACGTAATAAGTGATATTAGATGAAATGGACTCTTTGCAGGAAGCCATTTTGACTATCAGAAATGGACTCTTTTTGCAGGAAGCCAATTTGATTATCAAGGCAGCTTGCGTAACTGGTGGGATAGTGTAACAAAAGAAAATTTCAAGGTAAAAAAAAACTGTTTCATCAAAGAATATGACAATTACATTATCCCCGGATCAGATTTACACATCAGCGGTCTTCGTACATTAGACGAAAATATCGCTGATAATGGTGGTATTAAAGAAGCTTTCCGAGTTAGTCCATTCATTCGAAATTTTTAATTTATTATATTTTGTAAATTTTTAAGGCCTTTGAAATATCCAAATGCATGCCTAGAAAAAACAAGACCTGAAAATACGAATTTTATTTTAAAGCCTTTGAAGAATTGGAAAGAAACAAGACTTTACAAGAACAAAAAGCAAAAAAGATCCGATAAATTTTGATGCACGGATTCTAATTTCTCATAATATTTCAAATTTCTATTGTTTTTTCTGAGCTTTAATTATCTGAAAAAAAAAGCGAAATTAATGTGTTGTAACTTTTCCTCAACATAAACTTACTTTATGCTTATAAAAATTACATCAAAAAAATTGGTCACGAAGAGAAACGTTTACCAGGACTCGAACATCTCGATATGAATCAAATATTCTTTCTAAGTAATGCACAGGTAAATTTTGCTTCTCTATTTCAGTTTAATCAATTAATTCATAATTTCAATTAATTCATTTTATCAATTTAATCAATTAATTCATAATTTTTAATTCATAATTTCAATTAATTCATTTTATTAATTTAATCAATTCATAATTTTTAATTCATAATTTAGTAATGAAATGTTTGATACCGTGAAAATTTTGAATTTAGAATTTTTCACTATTATCAGTTTAAAAATGAACACAAATTCAAAATTCAAATTTACGATTAGATAATTACCGAACGAATAGAGCACCAAATTTTTTGTTGATTACACCTTTGGATTTAATTTTTATTCTTGCCTTTTAAATTTTTAGTCTTAATTTTAGGAAAAATTATTACAGATCTGGTGTGGACATTCACAACCAGCTGCTTTAGTTAAACGAGTGCTAACCGGTCAACATGCGCCACTTCGATTCCGTGTTAATGGAGTAGTCGTTAATCAGCCTGATTTTGCAAAAGCTTTCAAATGTCCATTAAATTCACCAATGAATCCAATATCGAAATGTTCATTATGGTGAACTTAAGCATTGCATAAATTTCCTACATAGCATCCATTTTTTAATAAAATTTATTTTATTCTATATCGGAATTTTTAACGAATGTAGTAGAGTGTAGTAATAAGTGTAGTAACGGATGTAGCATAATGTAGTAATAAGTGTAGTAACGAGTGTAGTAATTCAAACGTTCAGTACCTTTATTCATTTTGATGCAATCCTTTATTCGTCAATCATTTGCATTCCGTGTTTTGATCTTAAATTCATTTACCTCAGTATATTGCTCTAAAATTTTTGTTCATTTAACCAGAATCTATGTAAAAAAAAATTATCCAATTTCAACATTATTGTGGTATATTTGAAATACTTTCTAAAATGATAAATGCTATCATAAATTTTTCTTACTTGATCCGTTTGTGTAACATTCAAACATATCATTATTTTTTAATTCCATTACTCATTCGTCTCAAAAAAACTGAAAGTTTTGGAAGTATGCAAATATGTTTGCAAGCCAATAATCAAAAATCAAAAATAATCAAAAATCAAAAATAATCAAAAATCAAAAATCAAAAATAATCAAAAATCAAAAACCCAATTATAAAAGTAACAATTTAAAAGGTATTACCTTATTGATAAGATGATCGAATAATGTCATTCCTATTACTTCTAAGGAAAAGTAACAATTCATAAGGTATTACCTTATTGATAAGATGATCTAATAATGTAATTCTAAGGTATTATCACCTTTTCTAGGATTTTCTTAATCTCTTTATCAATATCAGCGTAAAAAATTATTGCAATTATTGTCTTCTTTTGTGTCAAATTCAAGTGATATCAGAAGTTACAATTAATGTAGAATAGCACCAAATGTAGAATTAGCTATAAGTGAAACAGATTTTGTGTTGTAAATTATTTTTTGCAAATATTGCGTTTTTCTTCTTTTAAAATGAAAACAAATTATTCCGAGAATGTTTGTCGATTGTTGAAATAAATTTGTTGAAATTGTTGTTGATATTGTTGTGAATTCTGATGATATTTTAAGCTTTAAGCTATTCATTCGGCATTTTAAGGTGTTGAAAAAATACAAAAAAAAATTGCAGAATTTTCGCCTTAATTAATAAGTTTAGGCATATGTTACAATAATTACTGCTATGGATAGGTTGCAATGTTAAAATAAATTTTAATTTTCTTGCTTTCTGAGATATGAGCTGTTTTGCTGCTCAATTTCTATTTTTGCATTTCTAGAAATTGATGAAGGAGCAATAAAATTTATATATTTTTATTTCTATGGTATAGAAAATACAAAATGGATTGATCAGGTTTTCTAAAAGTATTGATGACATTATTTTATGATATATTTTATGATATTTGAGTTGGCACGGCTGGTTGAAATGGTGGTTTTGTTCATTGAACTGGAACAAAAATATTTGTTACAAAAATAATTCACATCTTTTGGCTTACTTTTTTAATATTAACCATTCTTACTCCCTAACATTGATGTGATACTGAGACTGATTGATGACATAGATCAACTGGAAACAGGAACGGATTTTGTAATTGATGACGACTGATTGCGTTTTGTTTCTTATACCTAACATATACTTAAAAACATTCATAGTTAGAATTGAAAGCAGTAAATATTGATGAATGTTCCAACAGAGTAATCCAAACGTCCAATATTGCGTTACGGTTTTGAATTAAAATAATGCATATAAAATCAAACGCTCCTTCCGACAATTTCACAATTCTTAAAATTACCTGACAATGATCAAAATTAGTAAATTGGATATAAATAAGTATAAGTCCATTTCTATCTGCAATCTGCATTTATAATTGAAGCGGGGATAGTCATTTCCAGTTTTCACAAATAAAACCCATGAAAAACTGGAATTAACTATGCTCCCATTGCGAAGATTTGATAATGCAATCCTATCGCAGTAACAATCATTTTCAATTGCTTCGTTGCCCCCCCCCCCTCCCCCCCATATCATTCGATACTTCAAATTTCTCAAATTTCTTTTGTTCTTTTGAATCTTGACACTTATAGAAAATGTCTAAGTAACGCTTTGTTCGGAAATGTGCAATAAAATGTATTTCAAAAAAAGGAACAGATATTTGCGGTTCTTTTTTTGACAATACAATAATAGTACGTTAGTTGCTGCTTTCATAATTTTCTTCTATGTTTTATTTGTATCGTTCGTTTGCGAATTTACCGTAGTTCTAAGTTTAAAACCGTGGAAATATTGAAAATACACAGGCAACAAGAAATGTTAAGATACAACGGTGAATATTGAAAGATTCGGGAAATTGAAACCGATAAACTCTTTAGGAATAATGAAATCTGCAGAAATAGACTACGATATAATTCTTTTGCAACTTTCATACATTGTTTCATTCAATTCGAAGAAAATAGAGTTTGTATAATTTGAAGTAAACTTCTACCGCTTTACTTTTGCGGCTTCTACGGCATTTTCTTCTGCAGCAATTAATAATAAATTACAGTTATATCGTTTTTCTTCTCTTCCTTTTCATAATTAATAAATGAGGATTTTATTGATGATAACAAATAGGAGATAAAGTAGTCGATGAAATGATATAATTGATAACGATTAAGAATATTGATGATAATTTGAAACGACGAAAAAATTTTAATCTTATAAAAATTTACGGAAATTCAGTTATATATTTTTTTTTGCAGTGAATATGTTGCTTTCAGCCAAGTTCTATATTATCATAGGTATTATAATAGTATTGACTGTAGTTTTTGATCATGCTGATGATAGTTTGGCCAAAAAAGATATGGAACAAAAAATACTTCAATCGTTGTCACCTCAATGCTTTCAACATTTATTGAAAGTAAGAATATATGCATTTTACATCTAAATTGTATCGTATCATCATAGCAAAAATTTTTGATAATATAAAATTTAAAATGTTGTAAAATATTTCAACGACCTTCAGACAATTTTCTGACTTTTTATTATCAAAATTGATTAATGTTTGTTTAATTACAAATGTTCAGAGTGATTCAATGAAATGATGAAAATTGAAATAAATTATTATTATTATTATTTCTTAAATATAAATATTTCCTATTATTTTTTTTTTCAACAGCATTTTTGTATTCACAAAAATGGCTTTATGAATTTCTTGTAAATTTTAATTAAATTAAATCAATGAAAAATGTTTATTTTTCAGATCAGCGCTAATCAAAATTCCAGTCTTACCTCATTAAATGCGTTGGACGCATTTTATCCTTCATTTGGACATGGCAAATCTAATGAATTTATGACAGATAGCAGATTTGTTAGTATTACTCTTTAATACTTCTACAATATATATATCATATATGTTGCAAAAATATATTGCAATTTATATTATCAGCATAAATAAGTATTTGAGCGAATTGATTTCTCTTTATTTCTTCTCTCTCTCTCTTTCCTTAAATTTAATAGATAGTTTTGATTTTCTTTTCGTTATGATTAATAAGTTTTCATAGAACTGAAAATTTGAGTTTGAATTTAAAAAAGAAAAAAATTTTTACATTTTGCTTGGAAAGATCATACGATCAAAGTTTGTTTGTTTATAGATGTATCGAATGTTGCTTTGTTTCAAATTAGCCGGTGAGGAAAGATTTTTAGTTTCCAAATATCCGACAACATTTTGTTATCGTTATGATCCAAAACAATATCGATCTATTGCACATACTATTTGCATTCCAAAATCTTGCTTAAATGAACAATATCAGGTATTATTTGAATTAAATTAAATTTCATAGTTTATCGTTGGAAAAATTTTTATGAAATAAATGAAGAAGATTATGAGATGAAGTTTATGAATTTTATTCTTAACAATTAATGAATAAATTATCGTAATTAAAAGGTGTTAATGAAGAAAAAATTGGATAACTATCATGTTGAAGGCTTTTTTTTTTGCATTAATTTGCATATTTCTAATTCTTTTCCATTTAAGAAAAAATATGTCATTTTGAAATTAAATAAATTTAAAGTTTTGGGATATCTATGAGAAAGCATCCGGTATTGGATTACCAAAAAATCATACCACATCTTTGATATGTATTCATTCACGCCGTTCATTACAATGGTACAATAAACCATTACCTGTTATCATCATTTCTTTCAATATACTGTTATGGTTGATTGCTTCATTTTCAACTATTTATCATATTTTAAGTGGTCCTGGAACAAAGTATGTCTTTTTTCTGGTCAATATTTTCTTTTTTTTTATCATTGATAAGAATTTGAAAGTTATTAATTTTTTTATCAATGATAAGAAGTCGAAAGTTATCAATTTTTTTATCAATGATAAGAATTTGAAAATTATTAATTTTTTTATCAGTTATAAGAATTTGAAAATTGCTAATTTGATACAATTAAGATACAAATAAGATTTTAGTATAAATGATAACTATTCAGAAAGGGATTAATTAAAATTTTTAAATTTCAGAACAATAAAAGAGCAAATTTTTCTTGCCTTATCATTGAAGCAAAATATTTGTATGTTATTTAAAATGCCTAAAAATCATTCAAAAATGATAACGTGTATGTTTGGAATACGATTCTTAACAATGATTTGGATTGTTATTGGTCATATGTTTGCTTTTGTTGCTGTTCGTTGTTTTAACGAAATTAATTAAAACTTTTTTTTATTTGAACTTTCTTAAATTTTATTTATTATTAAAATTTATCATTTATTTTTTGTAATATTTCATATTTCTAAAATTATCGAATATTTTTAATTTTTAAATTCATTTCATTCTGTGGAAAATTTTCTATTGTTTTATCATAATTTGTATGCTTATAGCCATATATTAATAATGTTGACGAGTATTATCATGATATCGCTGATAATTTTGGTAATCAATGGCTTGCAAATTTTCTTCTTTCTGTTGATGTATTTTTGGTACTTGGCGGAACAGTAAATGCATACGGGTTTTTTCAAAATTACGAAGGAATGGGTAAATATTATAAAGTTTTAAATTTTATCAAAAAAATTATATGAAAAATATAGATTGATATATTATAGCTAAATTATTTTATTATAGTTAAAAAATGGGGAGAAATTATTTCATTATAGTTAAAAAAATGGGGAGAAATTATTTCATTATAGTTAAAAAAAAATGGTAGAAAAATTATAGTTAAATTATTCGTTCCATTATAGTTTAATTATTCATATCAAATATATAATAATATATTTTGTAATGAAAATGGACAAATTGGCTAATTAGCTAATTGGTTTTTCAAATTTATTTAAATTTAGCAATAAAACCAACATGGAAATCTTCAAAATTTTGGTTAAATTTCTATGTGCATCGAATTATTCGTTTATGGCCAGCTTATTGTTATACTATAATATTCTTATATTTCCTTACCAGTTCGCATTATGAAGATTTATGGCCTGAAATTGATTATACTACACAGTGTTCCAAATATTGGTGGCAAAATTTGTTACTCATAGGCAGTTTATTTGAACATCGTTGTATGGGATGGGCATGGTAAGTTGCATTGATCTAAAGTATCAATGCTTAAAAGTGATAAGCTAAAAATGATAAGCTTTTTAGCTAGATATTGTTTGCATTGAATTTTGATATTTATTCAGAGTAATTGCTTAGTTATATTAAATAAATTCTCTGAGCTTATTCCTCTTTCAAATTTCATCGACTAATTACAATGTATTGTTTTATCAAATTGATTAATTTTAACTATATATAAACTTTATTAATTAATTTTAGGTATATAAGTACTGAATTTATCTTTTACCTCTTATCTCCCATATTTCTACTAACGCTTAGTCAAAATCAGAAGCGAGGTTATCTGTTATCCATTCTTTGCATCTTCTTATCAGATGCAGGCCGAGCTTTTGTAATGATTGCGTACAATATGCCACCAACACAACTTGGCTGGAACAGACCTCCTATCTATAATTCCAATTTTATGGAGGTTTGTGCATTTACTGCTCGTTTTCTGACGATTTGACATTTTCATATCATTTAACTTATCACTTGAAGAAAAGTTTCTGAATGATATCAATGATAGATTTCATTACTCATTTTAAAGTAGAAGTTCTACTTCTTCTGTTGTTAGCTAAAGTGTTAAGTGTTCTGTTTGTTCCTGAAGCTATTATCACCTGCTAAATTATGGAATGTTTCAAATGAATGGTATCACGATGGATTATCGTTAAAAATGAAAGATGATAAAGAGAGAATAATCATATAGTTTAGAAAGCATGATATGATAATTGTTCATTCTCAATTATTAGCAATCAGTTGACTGCAAGATATCAAAACTAAAACCCCATTACAAAATTTAATTTCTTATCATTTAAAGCAATTCATTGTGATGTATATCAAACCTCAATATCGTGCAGCACCATATATTATTGGTCTATTACTTGGCCATCATTTGGCTAAAATTCAAGCCAGAAAAGTTGACAATAAACAACATTCAGCTATTTTTATTACCTGTGGTTGGATTTCGGCAATTTTTCTTGCTTTTATTAGTATATACGGTCTTTATCCAATTTTAATCGTAAGTTTTTCAGCATTTTTATTGCACTTAAATGCAATTAATTAGCTTAATTTCATATTTAGCAAAAGCTACTAAATGATATTAATTTAATTAGTTTAATTTTATTATATTTGCAGAATTTAAATTGGAAGCTTTATTATCTAATTTATGGAGCTTTTCATCGTACAACATTTGCCATTGCAATTGCTTGGCTAATTTATGCTTGTCATACTGGATATGGCAGTTTTATTAATGCAATTCTTAGTTTTAAATTATTTTTACCACTCTCTATGTTATGCTATTCGGTAAGTTCATATGCAATATCGCTATGGTTGAATTTAAAATATTATAGATGAATTGATTGATTCGATTTAATTAACTATTGATAATAATTATCATTGCTTAATTAATGTGAATGATGCAACATTTCAGGTTTATCTCATTCATTTGGTCGTGATATTTGCATCTTATATGTCTATAACTTTTCCTTATGATTATAAAACCAAATCGCAATTTTTGAATACTGCTCTAATTAATTTATTCTTTGCTTATTTGCTTGGTTTTCAAGCTTCAATGCTTTCCGAATTTCCATTCTTAAATATAGAACGCTCTATACGAAATTATTATAAGGAAAAATTACGAGTAAGGACAGGAAACTAAATTCGGTAATATATGTTCAAATTATTATCACACTTAAGGCTGTCTTTTAACAAAATGGTATATGATCGTTTTATGCATGCGTGTAAATTTTTTGGTTTGGAAAAAAACGATCTTTTTAAACGATCAACAGACGGAATTGTTGACAGTTTCTGTGTCAAAAATTCTCATATTTCCACTAATATTTGACAAAATGTTGCTTGTTATCAGCTAATTGATAAGAATATGTTTCATTTTTTTATATGTGAAAAAATTTCTACATTTGATAATTTTACACAAATCATTTATCACTTAAATTATTATAGATTAAATTTATTCTTATCTCTATCTTCTTATCTTAATCAGAAGAAAGTTAAGTTTTAAAAATGTTGATTTTTCATTTTCTTTCGTAAAATAATTTAGTAGTTTATATGCTCTTCGAATTCCATAAAATAATTTGGTAATTCTTCGAGTAGCTATGAAATTTACAATTAAAACATACACCGATATCTCTGATCGGAAGAAATCTAAGGCAAATTAAAAATAGTTCGAGAATGGTCAATATAGATGAGAAGAAGAAAAATGAAATAGTTTTGAGAATGTGTAGTATATGTGAAAAGAAAAATAGGAATGAACAGTTTTGAAAGTAATTTTGTTGTTTGAATAATTTTAAAAAAGAAGGTTAAGAAAAATAGTTGTAAGATATATCATCCTATATATTATCCTATTACTTCTATTATTCGATATTTTTATAGTAATTGTTACACTAAAAAAATTTTTGGATAAGAAATGTGAGAAGAAAACGAAGTCATTTGGCAATTAATTTGTTGTAGACAGGTCATTTCGAGAAATTTAAATCACGTTTTTTTTTTGAAGGCCATTAAAATCATGTAGAAAACATTTATTACAACATTTTGATGATTGACTTCTAAATTTGAATTCTTAAACTTTTATATATAGCACAAAAAAAAAATGATATCATTCTTCAGTTTAATTAATTTTGATAATCTGTTAGTTGAAATTTGTTCAGATTAGTTATATCAAATTTGCATTAGTTATCAATTCTTAATTAATACTCTTTCTTATAAGTTAATAAAATAATCTTCAACAAAGTAATATTATTTCAGAAAATTTCAAATGTGCAAAATTGGTAGATTACTCGATGAACACACATTGATGATATAGGTGAAACTCCCGATAAATTATTGTATCAATCAATCAATCAATCAATCAATCAATCAATCAATCATTCAATTACTGATTGAAAATCGCACAATTCTTTTGTAAAGATTTGATAGTTTCAAATTCGTACAATTAATAAAATTAGATTTGGCAATTTCTATGATTACTTCGAAATGTTAAGCATTTTATAAATCATTTTAAAAATAAATATCTTATCATTATCATGATTGGAAGTTTGAAAATTTGAAAATAACTGATCAAATTTTAATTTTAAAAATATCTAGAAAAGTGATAGATTATTGATAGTCAAACTTCTTTATTTATATTTATGTCCATTCAACTAACTCTTTGACAAATTTTCAACCATTATCCCATTCAACTAACTCTTTGACAAATTTTCAACCATTGTCCATTTCAATATTTTTACGAATCGATAAATCTGAAATATCACAACTTTTATTTGTTTCCATAATTCGGGTTACAGTTTCTCAACAAAATATTCTTTAACTGTTTGTATCGTAAATTTCTAATAATGTTAACATCGATGATCTCTCAAATTTCTTAGTTAACAGAATACTTGTAGTACACGGACTTTTCGGGTAAAATTCGAGAAATTTTGTTAACTGTCATTTATATCGATAAGGCACAGATAGAATAATTGAAAAAGAGAAAGAGAAAGAGAAGAGAGAGAGAGAGAGAGAGAGAGATTTTTTGCTTTTTTTTAATTCATTCTTTTATTTAATAATCTTACAATTTGTCAATTAGAAATGAAAATTTAATCCTTAGTACTGAAATTATTATAGTATCATTGTAATAAGAATTGAACTCTTTCATATTTTCTTGGAACTTTCTTAAATGAGAATGAAAGATTAATTTCCTGTCTATCTTTCTTTTATGCTTTTCGACAATTAAGAAAAATTATGTATGAGAAAGGTTTGTCAATAAATTGCTCAATGCATTAGTGGCAATTATATTTTCTTTTGCATTAATGAAATTAATGGAATTAATTACACATATAATTATTATTTTATTGTTTCTATCTCTTTAAAACGATTTTAAATTTTCTCTTTTCATTCTTTCTCAGTATTAATGGAATTATAAAATTGTAAAACATCAAAGAGCAATTTATATATTAAATCATTTTATCTTCCAATAAATAAAATTTAGATTTTAATTTTACACTCTTCGGAAATCGACATATTTCAAAATTGGGAAATGTTGTTCAATTTGTTTATAGTTTTCGAAAATTTTTGGACGGTATTTATGGATTTTTGTTTCTCCATGAAAAATCCTTTTTGATGTTAAAATCGAAATTATTAACAATGAAAGTTTGCTAAGCTATAATATCAACAAGAATTTACTTTATATTTATTAGCATGATAGGATTGAACTTAGCGTATCGCAGGTAGTGTATCGCAGTTTAGTGTATCGCAAGTAGTGTATCGCAGTTTAACGTATCGGAGGTAATGTGTCGCAGTTTAGCGTATCGCAGTTCTTAGCGTATTGCAGTTTTTATGATCCACTCATGATAATAAAATAGAATTTTTTGGCTATTTTAAAATTACAGAAATTTATACAAAAGCATTTATATAAAAGAATAATTTGAGTGGAAGCGCTTATTTCTAAAATTGTGTTATTTTCTGTTCATTGTCGTTAATTAAGAAAATGAATTGAACTGATAAAGAGCTGTCATATAATAAAATAGTAATTACAATTTTTTCACATCGTGCATTGTTTGTTTTATATTCACAAAGGTTGTCGCTATATCGCTATCGCTAATATATTATTTCAATGTCGCAATATTATATATTATTTTAATGCTCATTTCTTACATTGAATTTCTAATTTTTTCATTTCTATTTATTTAAATCTATTTTTAGACTAAGAAAATGGAATTGGATAAATTGGTTTTATTTCTTACTTAGATTTAAAATGGATCTCAAAGAGCATAAACAACTTGTAATATCAAACAACCACAATTGATTCAGAAATTACTAACAATGTATAATGAATGCAGTTCCTATTCAAAAAGTTTTGATAGAGATATGAGAATTTGAAGATGAAAAGCGGAAATGGCTGAACATCAGAAGTTGACAGTGACCAATGAAATTGATTTGATCTCTTCCAGCTGAGAGAAGTTCTCAATAAATTCAAATCAGCTAATTTTATGATAATACGATGTTTGATGCAAACTGGAAAGATAAAAAAAAACTTCAATAATGGATGTTGTCGTATATAATTCATCGATCATCAAGAAACGACAACGAATCATTTTTGACTGGATAATGAGGTGATACTGTTTATAGAAAATGAATTATATATGACAAATGACAATAATAACTTCAGAGGTTAGAAAGAGAAAAAGCCTCAAAGTATTTCTCAAAGATCAATTTGCACCAAGAAAAGCTATGGAACACTGTTTGATATCTCCTTCAATGTCTGAGTCCCGACAACATGTTAAGAATGCATGATGCTTGAAAATGATATCATTGTTGTATATTTCAGATTTGAATAGGAGCTGAACATTATTGCTTAAATTCTAGTCTATAGTTTGAAGATTATTGGAATATGTTTCTACCAGAAAGTTCGACACCAAATAATTCTCACAAATGATATGGTTTCCTATCCAACGCATTATATGCCTTAGATTAACTGTTGCTACTTAGATCCTAGACCTAGATGATTGGTAAATAAATGAGATTATACACTTTATTCATCTTCTCCGCTATTTGGAGTAATTACGCGAAATCGTTAAGGTATCAGCGAATCGAGATTAATACCCATCAAATTTACCAAATTGGATGATATTATTCTACATTGTTTTAAACTTTTTCAGTAATTAGTTCTTTGAAATAATTTTTCTCAAACTTCACTTCAAACTAAAAATCCAGTCATCGCCTGGAATTTTTTATATGAATAAGTTTAATTTAGATCATAATTTTTAGCTGTTTTCGTGGATTTCATCATATAATTAAAAGTATGTTTTAGCACGAAATGTGCTCTGCAATATCAACAACAATTAATGGCTTCCCGACGATTTATGATTACACTTTTAAGTTGATCGATTTTTTTCTTTAAAAAATTTTTAAAACGAAATTTCATCTAGAAACTACGTAAACACTGATTGTTGTCCGATGACATCAGTATTAAAAAGATAATAATGATGTCATCGAACATTGCAGACCCTACGCCCTACCCCTATGATACATATGGATTATGTATGATAAAATTGAATTCTGGAATATAAACTTACCTAAGGTAGAATTTCTGACGCAAATACTCCTAAGTACAACTTACCCGCCCTCATAAGACCCTTTTTCCAAGCTTTCTATAAGTTTCACCAATCTTGAAATTTTATGAAATTTATGGCTAATAAAGAGCTTCGTATGCAGATTGTTGAGATCAGGACCGCAATTGCAATTTGAACGTGGTTCATGTTCTTATGGCAAACCAATATTTGTCCGTTTTGATAAGCAAAATTAAGTTACTTACAACCTTAATTTTTTTAAGTATAAATGAATTATTCCGAATGGATCATGAAATTGCAAAACGACCTGATGTTGTATACTTCACTTATAACTACGAAAATGCTAAAGCTATTATAATATTCTAATTTGATGATTTCCTAGGGGGGTCGCTTAATCATAATATTAAATCCAAAGTTTTTTTAGTTAAATTCAAATATTAGATCATGATAATATATCAACAACAAGTTTGTTAAAGAAATGTTTTTTTATGGTGTGAATGAATTTAATTTAAGACCGCAAAGGAAAGTAGTAAGACGAACAAAATAAGAACTCAAGAAGACGTCATTAATTTTGAGTACTATCATGATTTCAAGTTCTTAAATCCTTTGAATTCAATTTGATAAACTGCTTACAGTTATGATTTTACCACTTGTGTAACATTGAACTATATAAGGTACTTCTATTACGAGAGTCTGGCTTGCGCTTCTTGTCTTCAATGGTGACTGACTAGTACCATTAAGCACTCTCTAAACAACGATATTATTACCAGCCTTGAATCGATATTCAGTTTGGTCAATATAATGGACGCATCTGATAAACTATCATTTTCCTTTTCTCATGATAGTATGAGAATTTGATCATTTTTCTCAACGCATACCGTAAATAACGGCACGTAAAAATAACCCTCCACTCAAACTTGAAACAAAAGGAAAACACAAAAAAAGCGACTATTACGCACTTGCCTTTCTCAATTTAAAACAAAGGCGTGTTCAAGACAGCCTAACATCATAGATCTGACGGAATGTCTACCAGCATCACCAAATTCACTGTATCATATCCCAGTTCTATGTTGTGCTTAAAACCAATGTTGCAGAGAAATCTGGACAAGTATCACTTTAAATAAGTTTGCACCTCACGCAATGAAGAAAAATTTGCACATATGATTAAAGAAACCAATTAAGATTAACTGCAAAACCCAGCAAAGCTTAAATCCAGAAGCACAGTTGTAAAGAAACCAAACATATATTACAGCAACATATTGCGGAATATCTGCAATGAGAGAGTACCGAATTTTCAAATTTAAGGTCCTTTTTTTTTCGCCAGAAATTTGAAGTATGTGATATGCCTGGTGAATAAAATACCATGGAGAATAAAACTTTTGAATTCTGTCAATTTCAATTTCGTATCAAAAGCATTCAGTATGTGCAAGATAAATGAACAGTAGAGAATGAGTAGTAAGTAATTTTAAGTTAAATCATTTCGCTCAGTGCTGATCTCACTCTTGTAATTCAGTCTACCATGATCCACTATAGAAATAATAAATATTAGGTATGACTATTATCAAGTAGTGTATAGTCATCCCATTCTCTTTAAAGACCTTGAATACCGCATTGCACTTCGTATAACTGTGCAGCAGATTGCTGAAGCTGCTTTATCTGAAATGAATAAATTTAAATATTTTCAACTTCTTTTAGGAAATTTTACAATACCTATTTGATGGTAGATAAAATAAATATTGAAATTTGAAAAACTTAACGATTTGAAGACCCTTATTGAATAGGTTTAAAACATGAAGCATGAAGAGTAAAGGGAAACAGCAGGATGAAAAGAAAATGAAAAACCAGATGAGACAGTAAATTTTATTGTTTAATTAAAGAAAGGATAATTTTTATAAATATTGCTAAATAAAACATACCTCAGTTTCATTCAGATTCTGCTTTACGATATGAGTGATGCCCTTCTCACCAAGAACGACTGGAAGCGATAGGTAAACGTCTTTGTCGATGCCATGCAAACCCTGCCATGAGAGTTATTAAAATCGGTAACTTTCACCATTTATATGTTGAAAACAATTTAAAATTTCAATCAATTTAAATTATCAAATTTACTTGTAAGGCATTCATTAATTTCAATTCTTTTGCAAGTATTCAGTTGTAATTGTAAAGCATATAACTGCATATAATTGAAGATCTTTTTCCCAACTTCTCACAATATTTAATAAATAGGAAACAAAAGAATAAAACAAACCTTAACGTTGATCGAAAGAGCACAAACAGAACGCGTATTACGAAGAGCAGTCGCGGTAATGGCAGCTGTAGACATGCCAATAGCCCAGGAAGTATAACCTTTCAACTTGATGATCTCGTAAGCACTGCAACATTAAAATTTTTAAAACCACTTTCAAGGCAATGTAACCTAAGAAGATGCTAAATATGTTGATAATTCCAAACATTCTGTGAAGTTTACTGCGAAAATGGTGGAATTTTATAAATGGACGAATCAGGGATTTAAACAGCCAAAAAGTGAAATTTAATAAAGATGTTAAAACGTGCGCTGAAACGACTTCTTTGTGGACTTTTTCTTGCCATTTGTCTGAATCAGCGCTCTTGCCAATGTCTGGTTTCACATCGCGCAATGCAACACCTGCCACATTAACGCCAGACCAAACAGGAACTGAAAACTATTGCAATGAAAATCAAGTAGCGAAATGCTTCCGAGAAGTTAAGATCTTTAACGGGGAAGAATCCCTGAGTAGTTTTTGATGAAATCTACCGCTTGAATCGCCATGTTCACCGATAATCCATCCATGACAGCTAGTTGGTGCAATTTCGAGTTTCTCGGAAAGCGAAAAACGGAAACGAGCGGAATCAAGGTTTGTTCCACTACCGAATACACGATGTTGTGGTAGTCCGGAAAGTTTCCACGCAACATAGGTGAGCACATCGACTAAAAAAGCTATCATCAAATATGATCATTTTGATGGTTCTAATCATCAAATCATCAATGTAATCAACAAAAGCCTTGAAAAGAGGTGAAATTGACACGATACTAGTAATTCACACTACTTTGCAGTTACAAACGAAAGGAGTCACGGAAGTATCTTAATCAACAGTCTTTTCCCTTACTGAACTGCAGTTTGAAAAAAATTAAACCTGGATTGGCGACAATCAACAGCAGAGTATCCGGAGAATTTTCAACCAGTTTAGGAATGATGCCCTTGAAAATTTCTACGTTACGCTGTACTAACGAAAGACGACTTTCGCCTTCACGCTGACGAACACCAGCTGTCACTACACAAAGCTTCGAACCCTTGGTGATGTCATAATCTGTAACTCAAAAAATTTTAATAAAAAAACTAACTCTAGAGTACCAACTACTAAACCTGCTTAAATGCACCCAAAAATGTGGAGCATTCGAACAACCATTATTAAAGCATTAGTCAAAAATAAGGGAACTGAAAAATTACCGACGGAGGCACGGATAATACATGGACTCATAAATGGGACTCCGTGTTGCAAATCCATCATTTCTCCCTTTAACTTGTCTGCCACGACATCAACCAAGCATAGTTCGCTAACGATATTCTATAAATCTTGAGATTTACTCCAACAGATAAATGCAACTTACTTGAAGTGTTTCTATTGTTAGCATTTACTGAAATAATACTCAAATCAATTTGTTTTAAGTTTGCCATTTTATAGGCTTATTTGGTAAAAGATTACGTTTAACTCAGGTGTTTTCTCTTATTCAAGCTAATAATCAGCTTTAGTCAGTTTGAATAAGCGAAATGACTTAGTACTACTGTCTTGGAAATGGAAAGTGCTACGAAATTACATAGTTCTGAGCAAAAGCTAAAGACTAGATTATCTGCGTCTGGTTATAGCTGTAAACACTCATTTAAATATAGCAGATACATAGAATTCATTCTTTCTAAAAGTTGGCATTTCAGTGATGTAAACCAATACAAACAACGGTGACCAGCAATTGATTCATTTATTCCTTTCCCTTTTCCTATTACAAATAACTATTTGTGATCAATGTACTGAGTGATCACTGTTTAAAATAGTGCTTTTATTTTCTTTCACACTCCCTAAAAATAATTTTGCAGTAGAGCGCATCTTTACGAATGAAGCTTCAATATCTTTGAACACGGCAGATACTTCCTTGTTGGGAAAATTTGTTTTGAAAAGTACCTAACTATAAGCAAAAATCTTTCAGTACAAAAGCGATGAGGCTGTACTTAGGAAGAGGTGAAACAATACAAATGATAGTAAATACAAATGATAGCACTGAAAGATAGTAAATATCAGCGAAGCAGTGCACGCTGAATCATCATTTACCACTCATCCATTACATCAGTTAATATGTAAGTAGCTAACTGCAAACATGCCTAAGATTTAAAGTGAAATTTCACATGTACATAAATCTCTCACTGAAACTAGTTGCCTACCAGAATTATGAATTTTCTCAGCTGAGAACTATTGCTGAATTGACTAAGATCAAAAAATTACATTTTCGGATTTGACAAGAAGGATAGTAATAAAAATTTATAGCCATAGGATTAAAAATGATATTTTTCAATCTTACAACTTTGTACATAATTTCTAGCTTGGTAGATTCATGAAATTTTCCATAAAGACATTAATTTTTCATAAGTTTCATGAAATCTAATAAAAGTTCTAAGACGCAACCTTTTGCATGATGCTAAAAGCGCAAGCCATGCCAACTTGGCCAACACCAACCACGGTAACTTTAGAATGTGGAGTGCGATGTGCTGGAGCAATTTCCTTGAACAGTGCTGCTGCTGTTTCCGCCATTCTGAAATTGAATCCAGTTTCATGTTCATTAGCTATTAAATTTGGCTCAATACCTATGTTCGGCTTTATTTCTGGCACGATATTTTCAACATAATAATAGCTGAAAACAAACTAAGATCTGCTTTTAATCAATGTGCACAAATCGACATCCTACCATTCTAAGTGCAGAACAAATGCTTTAGTGCTGTCTGAATAAATTTGTAATTTTGTGCACGAAGCATATCAGCGAGANAGCATATCAGCGAGAAATGCAAGCACTTTGGGCAATCATCTCATATCTATCTGGAAAATTAATTAAAATTACCTATTATATCAAAGCACACACAAACTACTATTAGTCCTATATTTTTTTAAATCTTACAAATGATGATAACTTTAGGAAATCGTTGAGCTGAACTGACGTTAACTTTAGATAGTTGCTATTTATCATTTGTAACTGCTAAACAAATAATAACAGCTGTTTGACTGTACTTTAAAGTTTCACCAGACATACTTTCATTTCCTTTTCACAAACTCTTCCCACACACTTCCTGAATTGCCATTGAGGTGAAATGCTAAAAAATCTCAAAAAATCAAATCTAAATTCTAGCATATGCTAATTCCAAAAAAAAAATCGCACTATATAAATTAAAACGCAATAGTGCCAATTAAAAAATTTACCTATAGAAAGAAAAAAAACAATTAGAAAATGCCGGAAGAATGCAGGTGGACTGTCAGTAAGGATAAAGCCTACTACTACTAATGTTAGTTTATATACATGATGATGCAATTGCGACCACTCATGCACGCCCCAAGAACCTCGCTTTGCCCAGTCATCAGTATCTACCAACCATTAGTTAGTTAGATCATAAAAGCAGACACCACATTGAATTAATGTGTGTTAGAGATGCACACACTCAATCCGTTACACTGCTTGCACATAATCGAAGATATTCCTCCTTCTCTCTCTCTCTCTCTCTCTCTCTCTCCCTCTAATTCGTCATCGCGAACGTAAGGGAATTTTCTAGAGCAATAAAGAATGAAATCATTTGAGATTCATCCATACGTCCTCGTATATAAAAAAAGCGCTCTAGAATAATATGCAAATTGTGAGTAATCAATATGCTGGAAAGGTGGCTGGAAAGAGAGTGTGCAAAGAATCGTTTTGTCGATTATCGATAAAACATCAGAAGCAATTCAAAATTACATGCAATTGTTTTGAGTAAGAATGATGATAAAGAAATTAAAATTTTCATAATAATTGAGAAAAATATGCTTCTCAACTCTTAGTATCCTTAAGTATCATTGAGAAAGACTTGTGTGATATAACTTAAATGAATTTCAGTAATTTCAATAATTTCAGTACCGTTTCAGTAAGTACCATTTCCTGATCAGTAATTGAATCACCGTAACAACAACTTGACGCATATACGAAATATGCACTAACCTTATGGACTAACTAACCTTATCAATATCAACTGTCTTACAAATTGCACTCTCCCTAGAAAAGATAACATCTTTGTTTTGTCGGATTTCCGGATAACAATCCTACAAATCTTACCATCAATCCGGAAAAAAAACTTACATATTAAACGTTTATTTCTTCCACAAAATTCAGTTAAATTCGTATTTGAATAGACGAGAAGAATCAACCACTGCCTGCTACCGGGAAATATTGCAAAATGATAACGCAGAAGGAAGTGCAAGTGCAAGTAGAAAGGAAAATGCCTGCGTTATTTTCCGAGAAGGCTGGACAATAAGAAAGAAAGAGAGAGAGAGAGAGAGAGAGCAAATAAGTTACTCTGTCCGGGTCAATAGGAACATATTTCATGCTTGTACTCATTCTTGTACTCACTTGTACTGTCTCTCCCTCTCTCTCTCTCTCTCTCTCTCTCTCTCTCTCTCTCTTTCAGTAATTAATGGGAGAAAGTGCAAAGATTAAGCAACAGAAGAAAATGATCCATGCAGTTTGTCATGTAGAAATACAGAATGGACATTGTTAACAGGATAGATAGCGAGCAAAGATTTTTGATATATCGATGAAATAATATATAATCCGGAATTCATTGGATATGATGAATTAATTCTCAGTGCTAGCAATCGGAAAAAAAAAATCGACCGAACTGTCTTTATGGATGAATCTATCCGTATTGTATCCATTCGATGAAGATAAGGAAGTGGACCGGAATGATTTTGAACGGAAACAATAGAAAGCATATCAGAGAAAGTGAAGCTGCAGTGCATTTTCAAGAACAATTTGTGACGTTTGTTTAAGGTAAGATTTTGATTAAATGTGATAAAGATAAGCGTTAGGTTAAGAGTGAGTAAAGCCTTAAAATAAAGCATATCATCGAAAGTCAATTATTTTAAAATAAAAGATGGAACAAATTTCGTCACCATGGTGACAGTATAGGTTGGTGACAGTATAAGTACAGAAAGTATGAAAACTTTTCAAACTCATCGAACGTTTTCTCAATCTTAGTAATATTATATTGAAAAAAAAAATGGTAAAATATTGTAAATTTTACGTGAACGAAGCAAATTTCCAAAAATAAACGAACAAATTTTAGGAAAGAAAAGCGCTAATTTTTGTTCATTAATTCTTTAAGTCTTAATAAGGTTGAGAAATATTATCTCATTTTCGATCATCAATTCTTTAAGTCTTAATAAACCTGAGGATGATACAAAAATTTTCGATCATCAATTCTTTAAGTCTTAATAAAGCTGAAGATGATACAAAAATTTTCGATCATCAATTCTTTAAGTCTTAATAAAGCTGAAGATGATACAGAAATATTATCTCATTTTCGATCATCAATTCTTTAAGTCTGATACAGAAATATTATCTTTAACTTTAATAACGATTAAAGAATTGATTTACAAAAAAAAATACATAAAAAACAAAAACAAAGTTATTGCTTTATGATACATTAAGATAAGATTGAAAAATTAAAAGATAAATTGAAAATTTTCATGAGATAAAATTATGTGAAAAATTAGGTTTAATTCTTCAGAGAGAAAAAAATCTACTTTATCTTAAATACTCTCTTTAGCTTACACGTATAATTTTACGTATATATCACGTATATTTTATATATTTCACGCATATACCACGTATATTTCATATATTTCGCGTATATGTCACGTATATTTCATATATTTCACGTATATTTCATATATTTCATGTATATATCACGTATATTTCATATATTTCACGTATATTTCATATATATCACGTATATTTCATATATTCCACGTATATTTTACGTATATATCGCGTATATTTCATATATTTCACATATAAATCACGTATATTTCAAGGTTACACGTATATTTCAAAAAGTATGTAAAATAACTATGAAAGAAAAAACCTTAATGAAAAGTTGAAAAAAGATTCAGTTAGAAGAAAAAGAAATTAAATTCTATTTAAACTTATCTGCAATGTATTTTAGATGGCGCATATAGTCTACTGTGTATTTTGGTTTTAGAAAAAATTCGACAAAATTGCAACCAAAAGCAGCTGAAAAAAATTGGTTTCAATTTTACAAAATATTAAGTTATGAAGTTGAAGTACTAAGTTCATTCCAGACAGATATACTGAGAATAGGAATTTACGGCATTCCTTTTTTCGTGTAACAACAACAACACGAGAGGACGATGCAGGGATTCGTTCTGGCTTGTTTCAATCTAATAATATTTGAATGGAATTTTATTGCTACAATCAATATAAGGTTTTCTTGAATGAAGTAGAATGCAATATTAAGGTTTTCCTAAATGAAGTAGAAATCTTTTAAAATTTCGATTTACACAAAAAGCTACAAAATAAATTGAATTTTTTAGCAGGTCACGTATATTTCATATCTTTCACGTATATATCACGTATAAAAAAATAATTTCAGCTCATTAATTTGCATAAATTTGAAACAAATTAATTAAGCTAAAACATTTATTTTCCCATACTTAATATTGACAGCAAATTTTTTACTTTTATAACAATAACAAGCTAAAAAGACGATTATGATTCGTTTACATTTGATAATATTTGATTCATAAATATTTTTCCATAATTTATTTACTAAACTATAAGTTCGATTTCTCCCTTAATATATCGCTTCATATTATATTTAACTTTGTCAAATGGCAATTCAAATATAAAGCAAATTTTGCACTTTCAAATTAATAGTTTTAGGCCAAATTATTGATTAGCACTTGATAGCAGAGGAATTTGATGAGGAAATTTTCACTTTCGAATAAATAGTTTTAGGTTATTGATTAGCATTTGATAGCAGAGGAATTTGATGAGGAAATTTTCACTTACGAATAAATAGTTTTAGGTCAAATTATTGATTAGCATTTGATAGCAAAGGTATTTCATGATTTTTAATTTTCATCAAAGTTTTGTGCTTTCATTTTGTTAAGAAAACAATTTCTTTCCAATTTATGATCATAAAATTTTGAAATTTTATCTGACTACAAATGTATGGCAAAGTGATTTGCTATAACTATGCATAAGCCAAAAAGAAATCATCCATTCCCTCTAAATTACAAAAGTAAATTAACTGATAATGATGATAACCTTAGTTCGACGTTGAATGGGGACGAAATCGTGAGAGCGCACAAAATTGTTAGGGATGAAAAGATGCTTGAAGGAAATATTATTCGGCATTTTTTTCACTGACTAAACTAATATAGGTAGCATATAGTTTTATCTTTCCACACTTACGATCTTTGACCAGATAGAATTGATTGTTCGATACTGTCTCTTTTTGTCCTTTAATAATGAACTCTCATAAAATGATCTACCAACGTGTCATCTGCCTTAACAATGCTCATGCACATCATCATAATATACTTCAGTGATATTTAATAGTAAGCGTGATCTCTATGATTTTTTACCTAAAAGTATATGTGCATATTTATATGGATAGACAGATACACATACGTACATAAACAAACATTTAGAACTTATTACGTTTAATCGTCAACTTGACTTTTCGTAAAAAATGAAAGGAAGAAATGAT